ATATATAAATTATTCTGAAAGACGAGAACACAGAAGAGGGACTTGGTACAGACTATAAACTCAATTTTCTATCACCACAGTTATAACTCCAAAATTAACAGATATACAGCAATAATCAAAAGCAGTGCAAATATCTTTGGAGGTTAGGATAAAATTATAATGCAAGAACATAAAACAAGGAAATAAAAAAGGCAAGTACTTCAAGTACAAGGAACCAGTCTGCTTGAGGTCCATCTTAGTGTTTACTGGGGGCTTCCTTCCTGCTTTTACTTCTTTCTCTGAAACACATTGGCCAACATGGCACCTGATGTTGTCAACTGGCCCATTTTGTTCAAAAACTTGGTCTTTGTATCTTCACTCACTAAGCTTGCAGCAATTGACATTGAGCTAGGAAAGAAATTTTAAAATTCAAGTAAAGCAATTAAAAAACTAGAATATCCATTTTTTTCAGTTCTTCAGCAGTATAATAGTAGTAAATACATTCTGAACTGGTAGCACGAAAGGGAAACTAAAATTGACAGGCGTTTTTATGCACCCTACTAGGTCAGGAGCTTTCATGTTCATGGTTGATGAAGGAAGCAGTAACGGTGGAGAGGTTAGGAGCAAGTATGGAGTGAGACTGAATCCTGGCTCTGTCATTTACCAGCTGTGTGACCCTAGGCAAGTTATTTATCTCATCTGTAATGTAATCCTCATCTGTAAAATGGAGATAATTCTATTACCTACCTCATAGGTCTATTAAGAATTATATAAGCGTACAGTGCTTATTAGCAGTGTCAGGAATGTAATAGCATGCTGTAAGTGTTAGTAGTTATTCTTCTTCTTATCAGCATCACTGCATTTAATTATAGCAACCCTGGAAGATAGATATTATCCCTATTTTCACAAAAGAGTAAATTAAATCACAGTAAGGTTTTATACTGTGCTGGTAACAACTCTGTGACGTTATTACTTATTTGGGCGTTGAGAGGGGGGAGAATGTCCTCAATTGCATTAGTTGCATTAGTTTCAATCAACAATTTAAACTCCATTTCTTCTTTCTTTTTGACCAACCTCCTGTATAGGTTAAACAATCTAAAAAACTACTAAAGATTGCTAATTTACCATACGACCAAACAGAATACTGATCAAGTACAATTTTCAGTGATCAACAATAAACCCACTTTACTGGCCTGTGGCTTTGGCCAAGATGCTTTAGATCACTCTGATTCAATTTCCTCAACTGAAAAATGCAGACTGCAATTACTATTGCAAAATATCCTGAGGACTGAAGAAGAGAGTATGTTTGAACATGTCAAGGGCAGTGGGTGCGAGGTGCAGAGGCTCAACGGATGTCCACTGAAACTACAGACGAAGTTACGGGCTGCCAGCAAGAATTGCTGGTTTTCTGTAGTCCTTAAAGGCGTGCACTGTGCGTTAGTAAGTTAAATGCCAGTCCACGACTCCCGTCCTGAAAATCTCTAGTTCCCACACCTCTTCTGCTATTACGTCAACCTGGCCTCTTCCTTGTCTCTACTTCTCGCCTGCTGCCTTTTCTCTTCCCACAAAGTAAACCTCCGTCAGGCTCAACATTTGGTTCCTGTTTCTTCAGTTACAAAACTTACTCCTGAAGTTTCCAACATCATCTCCATTAGGAGTTTGGGAAAAGTCCCATAACACTATTGTTTGTTAGAGAAGCTAACATCAAGCTTTTTTTCACCCCCTAACTTTAGAAATGACCCGCCATTTTTATTTCCTTGTTAGTGGTTTTACCATTTTCCTCTCTTCCCAACAGTGAATATAATGGCTCCCTCTCTTCTATTTAAAACCAATCATCAAATACTCTGATTTTACTCAATGAAACATCTATCATTTATTTTTATTCCCATTGACGATACCTTCCAAATGAATTATTACAATAGTCTTAGATCTGGTCTCCTTGCACGATCAGATTAACTTCTGAAATAATCAGTTCATCATATCCTACCCATTCTCAAACACCTTCAATGGCTAATTACTACCTAACAAGATAAAGTATGCTTGGCATTCAAGAAACATAGCAATCTAAATCTTGTGTGTATGTGTTTTTACCAACCATTACTGTTCAATCTCTAGACCCCCTTGAGTCAAGTTTGCTGAGTTTAATGTTCAGAACATTCTTAACTTATCTCTTTCTTTCTATCTGGTGTCTAGACATCCTTAAGGTCCCAGTTCAAGTCCTATCTTTTCTCTGATGCCTTTCTTTAATGTTTACAGTGCTGTTTCCTCTCTGTAGAACAATACTGTAAGCCGAAAGGTAAGTATGATTTTAGTTTGCATTGAGAAAAACAGGATACACAGGTCAGATAATACTTGAAGTACTATCGAGTTTTAGTGATATTCTAAGAGGAGGGCAACAATGATGTTAAAGAGTCTGAGATGTTCACTATGGAGAAGAGAAAATTTAGAAGACAGACACTAACGTTATGTGTGCCAAATTAGATATAAATATATATTTGCATAGCTTTACTGATATACATCACAATCACCTGGAGAACTATTTGAAAACCCAGATGCCTTGGCCTAACCCGTTATTCTGATTCTTTCCATATGGTAGAAAGGACCCAGGTATCTATTTTACACAAAGCTTTCCAACAAAGAACAATTGCATTGCAGCATTTTTTCCTGAAGAGAAAGTTTACATTTTTATCCTTTTTACAAAGGGGTCTGTAATGCTTCCCCACCCCTCTACCAGATGATGAAACATATTTTAGAGAGTAAATGTTTTAGAGAGACTTTAACTCAGGGTATTTTTTTGTAAAAGAATAGAGTTGTTAAAAATGAAACAGGCTGCCTTGTAAGGTAATATTGTCTTTTTTCTGTGAAATCTCAGATCTTTCCTTTGCAACTCAAATCAAAGCAGTTGCCATTTTTGTTGATTTTGAATCTGTAGAACCCAACCCCTTAAATGCCTGGCTTCTTTTTTTTTTTCACTTTAAAAAAATTTTTAAGTAATCTCTACATCCAACGTGGGGCTTGAACTCACGACCCCGAGATCAAGAGTCTCCACCAACTGAGCCAGCTAGGTGCCTCCTGGCTTATCTTCTTCAAAACTATATCCTAGAATTTTTTTTTTTTTTCTCTCTCTCCATACCATTCCATCTGGTAAATTAATGTCAAAAGGACTTGGGAAGTCATCTTGAAAAGGCTTGTAATGGCCAAAGATGGGATAATTTTGATGGGCATCAAAAGATAGTAAGTACGATGCATTTAATTACATCAAATATTTGAAAATACATGTGTTTATGATACTTGAACAAAACAGTCACCATTAGAGGGTGAATCAATTCATTATCTTAGAAAACTGGTGAGTAAAGAGAAAGAACTGAACATTTACCTTGACTTTACTATAAAAAACTCTATCACTGGGTAACTGTAGTACATATAGGGGAAGGTTTTCTTTCCTGAAGTATTCTAACTCACCAATGAAGAGTGAATGATAGAATTAGATATTTTAGTAATTCACTATTACTAAACAGTAATGTATCTACTTTAGTATTACATTTACATACTAATGTACATTAGTATTTAGTAACAGTGAATTACTAAAACATCTTATTCTAATGTATTTAGTAATGGTTAATGAATTAGTGGAGCTAGGCATTGATCATTAACAGATGCTACTATCACCAAAAAAAGAGAGAAGTAGACATTGTCTCTCTCGTGAAGAAAACACACCTCCTCCTATGAAGCAGTCATGCAAAACAAAGAAACATGCCCTGAATCTGATGAAGTCTCTGGATCCAGAACCAACAACCAAATTTACAGGAAATACAGAGGAACATGTTAAAACAACACGAGGGAAATGCAATCAACCAAATTCAGACTGTGGGACCTGTACAGAACAAAGACTCAGTTTCTTTAATAAGTAAGTTATATGAAGTTATATGAAGAAAAAAATGAGATAGAAGGGGAACCTATGGATTAAAAGAGACTTAAAAGACATGTCAACTAATTGCAACGCATGGAACTCTGGATTCTGACTCAAAGAAACAGACTGTACGGAAAAAAACAAACAACAAATCACTAACGACATGTACAAAACAATTAGAAATTTGAACACAGGCTACATAGCTGATAATAATATTAATAAGTTGTTATTTTGGCGTGAAAATGACATTATGTTTTAAAAAAATAGCATTTATCTTTAAGAGCTACATACCAGAATATAGGAGGGGCATGGATGAAATAAAATAGGAGTTGACAATTATTGAAGCTGAGTGCTGAGTACATGGGAATTCACTCTGTTATTTATTTTGTATTTATTCAAAATTACCTAAAATACAAATCTAAAAAAATAATACGGAAGATTTGAATAATAGGGAAAAATAATGATTATAAAAATAAACTTTTTCTTTTTAGGAGTCATATAACTGAAACAATCTTGGGAAGTTACAAAGACGTGTTTTTCTCTTTCTTAAATTTTTTTTTAATGTTTTTTTTAAATTTATTTTTGAGACAGAGAGACAGAGCATGAGCAGGGGAGGGGTAGAGAGAGAGGGAGACACAGAATCTGAAGCAGGCTCCAGGCTCTGAGTTGTCAGCACAGAGCCCGACGCGGGGCTTGAACCACGAACTGTGAAATCATGACCTGAGCCGAGGTCAGACACTTAACCGACTGAGCCACCCAGGTGCCCCTATTTTTTTCTCTTTCTTAATTCCTGTATGCTAATTAATGAAATTTCATTTAGAATATATTTTCACACATAATTTTTAGTTTTGTCCCCAAACTTTACATTTTAAACAAGGCACCAAATAATCTTAATACTTAATGTATGACAATTGAACAGAAGTGCTTGCTTAGGTAGTTAGTTTTATGGATTTTGTGTTCAGAATTGAAACCTATTTTTACTGTTTTAACTTTCCAAGGTTACAGTTGTAGAACAGTTCCTACCATCCCAGGAGGCTACAGAAAGGGTTCTTACATGCAGTATGAGGTAAAAAGCTCTAAGCATACATATGTGGGGAGGAGGTTGGGGGTGTGGAGGGGTAAGTGTGTGCATGGGTACCTAGCCTGATAGGTATTCCTTATTCCTGCTAGTTAGTTTTATAAAGGAAAAGCCTTTGAGCTTTTTATGCCTAACAGAGTCTATTTATGATTAACTGCTCAAGGTTATGTCAAAAGGTAAGAGTACACATGGTCGATTTGTAAATTACTTCCTCTCCTGAATGCCCAACTTTACTCTTTCACATCCATGCTTGTAGTTTAGCTTCAATGAATCTGAATTCTGGTTAGTTTGGTTGGGAGCACGTGAATAGAACATTCACAAGTTTATAGTCCTTTATGCAGTCAATCAAGTTATGCCTTACAACTCCAGTCACAAATTTCCACAAAACTATTTTGACCAGTGATTCCCAAATCCAGCTACCTACCACAATGTCTTTGGAAGCTTTTAAATATACAGATCCCTAGGCTGAATCAGACTGTTGAGAGGACGGCACAGAGCATGGAGTAGAGACCTAAAATTGAAATTCCCCAGATAATTCTGATGCAGGTGGTTTATAAATCAGCATTTGATAACTGCTGATGTAAATACTTTTCTTACCTTCCAAATAAATGACTACAAAGTAACACAAAATAAAATACCATACCCATTTGTAGAAAATTTAGATAGAGAAATTAAGGTTAATATGAAGCCTTAAAAAAAGAATTCATGTCTTACCCTTGAGGCTCTTGGACGGTCTTGTTCTCTACTTTTTGTTCACATTCCTTTATCATGGAACTTAAAATAACCTGATTTCAAAAAAAAGGACTTTAGTAAAATACAATTTACAATAGTGAAATGCTATTGTTTAATCTAGAGTTCTTTAATTTAATTTTTAATAGTCCCATAAACTATGACTATTTAAAAATGTAAGGTTTTGGCAGTTATTCCGTTAAAGGAATTCACATTAGATTGCTATGGTAGGTACAGAAATAGCTTTAAAAGACCTCAATCATATAATCTTCACTAACCTTCCTTCTGAATCTGGTATCAATTCTCCCTTAGCTTTCCCTACCATCTAATGTTAAAAGTAAAATTTGTATATGTCTAGACATTTAAAAAATTTTTTTTTTCAACGTTTTTTATTTTATTTTTGGGACAGAGAGAAACAGAGCATGAACGGGGGAGGGGCAGAGAGAGAGGGAGATACAGCATCGGAAACAGGCTCCAAGCTCCGAGCCATCAGCCCAGAGCCTGACGCGGGGCTCGAACTCATGGACCGCGAGATCGTGACCTGGCTGAAGTCGGACGCCCAGCCGACTGCGCCACCCAGGCGCCCCTAGACATTTAACATATACACATACCATGGTTACACATTATTTTCCCAGGAAAAGCTGTTCTGTCCCATGCCCCCTTGTTTTCTCCAGGTTGCAAACAGCAAGATGCTCTGTTTTAATGTCTAAAACAGAGACCAGGTATAGGTCTGTGGCTACTAAAATATAGATGGGAATATAACGGGCATCTAAGAGTTAACATCATGTTTGCACGGAGACTGAATGAATGATGGAAAGGGTGGCGGGACCTAAGCTGCTCCTCCAATCGCTGGCAACCTCACCAGAAACTGAATGGTCTTGAATATTCTTGGCCCGCGTTTGGGTATGGAGGTCACTAAACAACCAGTATTTACTGTCACCTACTATGTGCCAGGAACTTTTTTAGATATACAGAATGCACAAATAAGACAGACAACATTCCCTCCTTACGGAGAGCTTATGTTCTTGACAATAAATACAAAAAATTGGTAAGTTATATAATACATTAGAAGGTGATAGGGCTTTGAAAAGAGTATTGAGTTAAAATATGGGGAGCCAGGGGTCAAGACACAGAGTGTTCCAATTTACACGGACGTGTCCCCAGCAGGCTTCATGGAGATGACATGTAAGGAAAAGCCTGGGGGAGAGGAAGGAGCAAGTGTTTTATACACTGGGAAGAGGCTAAGCAAAGGCTCCATCTAAGGGAGAGTATGTCCATCATGTTCTAAACAAGGAGACCAGAGTGGTGGGTGCAGAGTGAGCAGGCGAGAGGGTAGAAGATGAGAAGTGAAGTGGGGGGGGGGGGGGGGGGGGGAGAGATCTTACAGTGCTTTGCAGATTATAGTGAGGACTTTGGTTATTAAATGAGGCTTCTGTCACATGCATGTTAGATCTAGATTCATCCTTCTTTGAATCTTGTCTGGTTTTCCACTCTGATCTCACAGATTATAGATTTTTACTTGTTTTGTTTTAAGTTATTTTGAGGAGGAGTAATACTTGGTGGGGAGAGGGCCTTGAGGGGGAGAGAGAGAGGGAGGGAGGGGAGGAGAGAGAGAGAGAGAGAGAGAGAGAGAGAGAATTCCAAGCAGTTTCCGTGCTGTTAGTGCAGAGCCGGATGTGGGGCTCGATCTCACGAACTGTGAGATCGTGACTTGAGCTGAAATCCAGAGTTGGACGGTTAACTGACTGAGCTACAGAGGTGCCCTTTAGATTTTGTTTGTTTAGCTGGGTTTTCCTTTATTATTATTATTATCATCCCCCTAAAAAGGGGGAGTTTTTTGTACTTTTTCTTCTGCTCCCTGCATTGTCTGTTTCCTCCAGTATTCTCTTTCTTGCATGTATGTTTTCATCTCCATCTTTCATGTGAGAGGTTTCTCAAATGGCTGGTGATCTTGGGATGTCCACTAAAGACTAGGGCACTAAAATGCTGATTAGAATCTCTTCATGCATGAGTAACTTCACTTTAAGGTGAACTGGGCAAAAACCAAACTTCTATCTTTTTCCCCCTGGGGGTATAAACCTAGCTGCCAGCATTCTTGGATCCAAGAAGGTGAAAGGTAATGAGGTTTCAATCACTATGCCTTCACTTAATTTCCCTCTTCTCATCATAGCCCTCACTCATTCCTGCTCTCAGCTATGTGGGATAGCCTAAGTTTAGAAAATAAAGCTCTAGTCTTCTACCAAGGTTGGAAAGGGAATCTGGGAGACTGATACCTCCTCAACTTGATAAATGGTATCTATAAAACACACCAAGCAAAGGAGAAATAGATAATTCCCAATCATAACTTTAATATGTGTTTTAACTGCTAACAGAAGATCACAAAAAACCTGATAAAAACATAGGAGAATTAAATGTTATTAAACAAAACTCAGGGATCAATAAGTAATAGAAATGAGAATTTACTTTGAACGATAATGAAGACACAATGTAGCAAATGCACAGGTGGTATCTCAAGGGATACACTTAGTCTTAAGTTCAGGTATCAGAAAAGAAAAGTTTAAAAATAAATAATCTAAGCTTCCTCTGTAAAAATCTGGAAAAATAGAAAAAAAATCAAACCTACCATGGTAATGGGAAGATAAACAAGCTGAAAATGCAGAATAGGAAATAAATGATAAACAGGGTTTTGGAGGAAACAAGAAGAAAAACAGAATAAAAGAGTTTTGAGGAAATTGAGACAGAAAACAGAAACTTTCCTTCTAAGAAAGTTAATGGTCTGAGATAAAAATTGTATAGCATTTTACAGATCAGAAAGCATTCCGTTTACCTTAGCTCATTAGATTCTGAGTATATTCAGTGAAGGAAAGTATGTTATCCCTACTATACAGAATTAAACAGAGGATCAAAGATGATAAAGGGGTTTCTCAAGATCTCCCGACCAGTAAATAAAAATCCATAAGATGACACTACACTATATTTCAAATGTTAAAATATAAAATATTAAAATTTAAAAGCACAGCATATCATACTCATGCCTCACACAAAGAAGAATGCAAGTCTGAAGAGGAGACAGGAAAACATAGGAACATGGCTCGGATAATCAGTGGCTTCATCATCATGGGAGCTCACCTCGTGCTCCGGAGAAAGATGTTCCATGTCAGTCCGTAAACATCTGAGACCAGGTAAAAAGTGATTAACCATTAAATCCTCTGAAATGACTTGAGACCAGGGAGTTAAGGGAATTAAAAACAAACAAACTGGTATGTCCAACAGAACAAGAGAATAATAACAATGATGCCTCAGGCATGCAGATCACTTGGAGCAAACAGGCTTCCCTCAAGCATGATTCTCATTTGTTGAGTTAGTTACTTATCAAGAGTCAACTGTGTTAATTCCCACAAATCCTTTACGTCAGTGGTATGGATTATTGTAACATTACATAATTTAATTACATGTTATATAAACACATGAAATGAGTGTAAACAGTAAATCATGTAATTTAATTGGATATTTAAATGAGCGTGAAATGAAAATTAATGTTTCCATGACAACTAAGTCGAAAAGTTTAGAAAAAAACGGTAAAGGCCAATTGCTTAAAATGTGGCTGTTTAATTATGGATGTATGAAACAAGTGTAAAAGGTTAGGAAAAATATAAAAATCTGAAAAAGGTCTACACCCAGTATCAGAAATGTTTCCAGATCCTCTTTAAAGAAACATAAACTGAAAATCACAATTACATTATGGATGTGTTTTATTTAAGAAAGATACTTTACTCAGCAGACTTACACAAAAGAAATGCCTCAGTCCTACATCAAAAGATTGGTAAAGAAAATATGTATATTAAGTTAAAATAAGTTATATACACTATTTCCTTGATGTCCTGCTTTAACCATCCTATTAAACGGACCTGCTATTGGTCCTAATTGAATTGGGTAAGAGAACTTTTGTTGTAATAATATAAATTTAGTATTAGTTACGGTTCCTGGTCACTTTTGAGTTTTATTGATTATTCTGACATTCAAAGGGATCAAGAAAAAGGGTGCATTTCTCATGAAAACAACTCACTGTTTATTAACATCACATTCTCACCTCATCATAGTTGTTGGCCATTTAAAAATAGTTATTTAATGTTATACCATATTAAGGTGAAATGCCAATAAATGAGTTCCCTTATAAAGATGGGTTAATTAGGGGTGCCTGGATTGGTGGAGTGTCTGACTCTTGATTCTGGCTCAGGTCATGATCTCGGGGTTGTGGGATCAAGCCCCACGTTGGGCTCCGTGCTCTGCATGGAGCCCGCTTAAGATTCTCCCTCCCTCCCTTCCTCCCTCCCTCTATCTCCCCCTGCCCTTCTCCCCAGCTCACACTCTCTTTCTAAAAGAGAAAAAAAAAAAGTTTACCAGTCTTTTTTGGAAAAAAAAAATAATGAATTTTATTAATATATAACTTTTACCTTAAAAATACAGTTATGATCTAAATAAACTTAAAAAAATAGTTATGAGTAAAAGCTGTTTGTAAACAAGCCTCCTATAACAAGTGACTTATAAGTACTAAAAATATAGATGACATTTGGTTGAACCAATTCCTGTAGTCATAGAGAGGGCTACAACATAATGGCTACATAGTTTTGTTTTCTAGATATGGGGAAAATACCACCAAAATGTAACTGTGAGTGACCTTTCAACTGGCAGTCAAGAGTCTGATCTAGAGAAATATGGATACCGATTGAGAAGCTGAAGATGGCCTTATTTGTTGGTAATGGGTTAAGTCTCCCCCCTCTCTTTCTACTTACTGTTTGGTTCTACCCTTTCCCTGTAGAATCACACAATCTTTGTTAGAGTTCATTTCATTCTATCTGATATTAGGAATCAACTCTACCTCATCTGTGAGTGATGGCCACAAAGTCTCTAAGTGCTAACACTGATAGGACATTCGTAGTTTCGTAAGAGGTTCAATCCATTTTTAATAGCTAAATTAGAAAGTTTTTCTTATAAATAAAATCAGACTCTCTGTAACCTTCTTGTGTTAGCTCTACACCTGAGTTACACAGTGTGCTTAACCCTTCTTCTATATAACCTTTAAAATAATATTTAAAAAAATAATTTTTGAATCACCTTTTCATCCCCAAGCCATCTCTTCTCCAGCTTAAACATTTCTAAATTCCTTTGATTTTTTTTTAAACATAATTTCTTCACTTATTACTATACCTAATGTTAAACACTATAGTTTTTCCATGTCCTTATTAAAATATGATGTTGAGAGGAATACTCTTGTGTTCTATCAGGTTAGAATGCAGTGGAACAGCAGAACAGATTTGGATCACAGGACAATGTGATTTTATTGTGGCCACGCCACTCTGTTGACACAAGTTATGACTCATTCAGAACTAACACATTTAGTATTCAAACAGGGTCTATTGTTAAGACGTTCTTCCCCTTACTATATTGGTGTAAAGACTTTATTATATTATTCTATATTGTGTACATACCTAAACACACAATAATATTCTTTCTATACAGATTCTATTCTCTTTAGAAACCACTGCCTTGCCCACTTGGAATAAGTGGTTTTATACAGCTAGAATTTTTGATCTTTTGACTTTTCAGTTTCCCTTGAGGCATACTCCTTAAGGAACTCTCTGCCATAGATTATACATCACTTTTTGCTTAAGTTTTTAAACATCTACTTTCACAAAGTCTAGGGAAGGCACAAACATAGCGATATTTTCTTTCTTTGACATGCCATTATTACTTTCTTGAAAGGGTATTGTCACTTCTCCATTAGTAAAGACTGGTTCCTTACTAATTCGGAATATCACTTCCTCTTTTTGCTTCCTCTATTTTCTCTAAGTAGAAAATGCCAACGAGATAAATCAAGAATAATAGCAAGTTCTCCTTTTAGTGGAAATAAACTTATAGAAGATACATGGATAGTTGAAGTACAAAATTACCAAAATACAGTGTCTCTGCCACTTTATAATTTGCGTTATAAAAAACATGGCTTATGTCATCCACAGGAAGAGGTAATTTATATTAATTGATTCCTAAAAATAAAATGCTCTCAACTATGCACTGAACTTAAAGCTTTAACATTTCCAAAAGGACAAATAGCTCCTCAACAGATAGCTCTAGGTTTCTACTTTCCCTGCTTGATTTATTCAAAACAAAATCTCCCATTGGGAACATTCCAGTCAAGAATCCAGTGCCAATGAACTGGTATATACCAAAATAGCCATCAGTGGTATTTTGGAACATGTCTACCTTATTTAAAATTACCTGTTCACTTTACTTCCTACTTCAAACTGGTATATAACAATATGGAACCATAAATATCAATGCAACTCTTTCTGTGTCCTCCAGGAACCTCTCTCTACTGTCATTTTTCCTGTTAGAATTCTCTGATTATGTTGTCTAGCATTAGCTTCTATAGTTCTGTTTGAGTAGTCAGCCTTTCAATCCTTTTTCAATCTCTTATTTCCTCTTTTTTGACCTCGCCTGCCTTTTCATGGGAGAACACAGAAGCTGGAGCTCACTCTGCTCATCTTGATCTCTGCTTCCTTCTTGGTTTTATTTTACTAGCCCTGGGACAGTAAAGAGAGCACGTAACAGGACAGCTAAAGTTCTTTTTCTAGTCACAGTTTTGCTTTTAACTATAAAAAAAATAGAAGTCACTAATGTCTTTAAGCTTTAGTTTAATTGTTTATAAAATGTAGTAGTTGACATGAGTTAGATGATCTTAGAGCTTTCCTTCAGTTTAAAAAAACATTTTTTAAAAAAAAACATTTATTTATTATTGAGAGACAGAGAGAGACAGAGCATGAGCAGGGGAGGGACAAAGAGGAGGAGACACAGAATCATGAGTATTCCAGGCTTTTGAGGCTGTTACAGAGCTGACGTGGGTCTCAAACTCACAAACCTCGAGATCATGACCTGAGCCAAAGTCGGACGCTTACAGGACTGAGCCACCCAGGTGCCCCATTTTTTTTTTTTTTTTTTTTTTTTTTTGAGAAAGAGAGAGTGTGAGTGGGGAGAGGGGCAGAAGGGGAGAGAACCCTAGGGTCATGACCGGAGCCGAAATCAAGAGCCAGATGCTCAACTGACTGAGCCACCCAGGTGCCCTGAGTTTTCCTTCGGTTCTACCATCACTGGAGATGATCAGCCATGTTGGCACTGTATTTTTCAATGAGTGATTTCTCGTCCCAGCATTCCACCGGACATGGATGGTTAAACCCTCACTGAAAGACCCAAATGCCAGAACACATACAAGGCTTCCTTTTGATTAACAGAAGCCTCAGCTATGATAATTTCTTGCTCAGTTACATAGCCAATTAACATAGACAAAACTTTAGTCAATGTTTTCAAAACTATAAAACATAAAAGCACAGAGGACTTAAAATGATCTTTTAAACTTATGAGAGCTAGAATAAGGAGTGGGGCGAGTCAAATCAAAATTTTAATTTTCTATAATCATTATATAAGTAAGTCGAAGAGAAAAAAATATTAGTTTCCACACTTCAACAACGGAGATTCCACCGCAAGATTGGTCATATAAATATAGATACACGTTAATAAAGCAAGGATACAACAACAGGAAAGTGCACTGTAAGCTTCAAAAAGATGGGTGGCAATATCCAGTCTTTTAGAATCCACAATTTGTAAGTTGTTCACCAAGGCTAACTTATGCAAGTGTGGTATAACAACTGAAAAAAGAAAAAGAAATTTAGATTTTTCTCTAAAATGTTGCACACACCACACTCACCTGTTGAACAAAATTTTTTTCATTTTAAAATTTATAAAATTTCATTTTAATTTCTAGATGATTTCAAAAGGTTACCCAAATCCTTTACTTGCTTTTTCATACTAGAGAGGAAAGCATGTTTTCCGGAATAACATTTGGGAGGAAGAGACCATAGCACTGGCACTATAACCTAATTATGAGGATGTATACAGGTCACTTGGCCTCACTGAAATTAAATTTCCTAATTTGAAGGATGAAAACCAAATAAACAAATGTAAACAACCTACCTCTTTGTGTTACTATTATCTTTACAAATAAGTTTTATCTTTACAAATAAAAATCAGGTATTACCATTGTTATTAAACAAAAGGTAAATACAGTATACTTATTCTTCTTCAACATCAAATTATTTCACTTCTTCATGAAACAATTCTTTTTTTTAACTTTATTTTTTATTTTTTAAAATTTACATCCAAATTAGTAAGTATATAGTGAAGCAATGATTTCAGTAGATTCCTTAATGCCCCTTCCCCATTTAGCCCATCCCCCCTCCCACAACCCCTCCAGCGACCCTCAGTTTGTTCTCCATATTTATGAGTCTCTTTTGTTTTGTCCCCCTCCCTGTTTTTATATTATTTTTGTTTCCCTTCCCTTATGTTCATCTGTTTTGTTTCTTAGAGTCCTCATACGAGTGAAGTCATATAATTTTTGTCTTTCTCTGACTAATTTCATAAAACAGTTCTTAACTTTAGTTTTCTCAAATTCTTAGCAAGACAAATGTCAAATAGCACTGGTGGTTTAGTTCAAGTCACTCAAAGCGCTCACAAGTCATCTTCTGTCTCAGTGAATAATGTGAAATTTCAAAAACATAGACAACCTACTGCTAAAATAAAAGGGATGGCCCAAGAAACAGCATCCAATTCAGTAGCAATGAGCACGTCTACTGCCCAAGATGGTGTTTTCTAAATACCAGTTCCCACGAAAACCAGGGTTCCTTGAAGAAATGGTTCCAGGGTCAGTGACTACCACAGTGTTGCTCATAAGGCCCCTTTCTAATCTCTGCTTGGCTAGGGATCCCAAAACACCCTTCATAAGCACAGACTTCTGACCAATTGTAGTGACTTCTTTCATGTTTGCACTGAGTTTGTCTATGTGAAAGCCATAATCTCTTCCTAGAAAAACCTCCTGCTTCTTCAGTAAACCAACAATATAATCACAACTTTTATACTTACGTTAGTAAATGGCAAAACCCCCCCCACAATAACTTAGAATACCAATGGCCATTTTTAGGGAATTTTGACTTGTTAAAATTAATAACAGCATACTTAAGAGGAACTCTAGAAAAAAAATTAGGAGACAAAAACTCCAAACGTTCATTGATTTCCCTGAATTCACTGAAACTCCAATTCAGTAACTGGCATGCTGAGGCCTCAACAAAATGATGGCTCTAAGAGAGTCTCTCTAGAGAATTTTTGGATTCACTTCTACCCAAATCTTTAGAAGGTTCCTTGAACTTCTTTATCTATTGACACCAAGCCTACTTATTCCTCCTGCTCCTTTTCTGACCACCTATATAAGCAATCCTTTCCTTAATGTTTTTCTCAGGAACTCAATAACCATACTGCACAATCACCCCTTAGAACTGGTTAACTAGAAAACAAATTTATAGAAGTTACTTTAAACTCTAGAGCCAACTAAAGGCTATCACTAAAGATACTCCTAAATCTCAAAAGATAGAGAAAAATTTACTATAAGAACAGTTCATTATATACATATTATCCTAGCTACTACCTCTGTAGCAATTAATTTACTTAATTGATAACCTCTCAGAAGGAAATTAGTGGTTAAAGATTTAATAACCAAGATATGCATAATTCTACAACTGACCTTCAGTGGGCAAGGAAAATAGGAAATGGACAACTTAAAGCCATTTCAGAAGCCTTTTTCTTAAGGACAGATTGGACACAGTCTAAACTACAGACGAAGTAGAGATAAATCAATAGGAGACTTTATAAAAATAGATTTCAATGAACTTTCAAAAAATATTTGGGGTAGATTCAACAGCCAAAGTAAAAGGACTCTTATCCTCTATTTTTGTAAATGGGCTCAAAACTGAAATAGAGAACTTCTAAAAAAACTAACTTGAAATGTAAAATTGCCATGTTAGAAAATCTCCAGCATATGACTGAACATTTTCAGAGAGCCTTATAAAGTAAAAAAGCTGAAAACAAACAACAACAAAATGACTGCATTGTGTTCCAGATTAAACCAATGGCCCCTGAAATAAAATCAAGACCCAAAGGTCCTGTGATAATTAAGAGTTGGGAAAGAAAAAGGCCACTGGGTCAACCAATGTCCTCTATTCTCTAAAAAACAGAATGACAAATATCCAAAATGCCACTCCAAGGAAGATATTACAACCCAACAGTTCTCTGTCCTTCCTCTAAACTCCTAAAAGCAATTGTCCATAAATACAGATAGATAACAGTATGACATCCTTGTCAATATGGGTTCTACTTTACCATTAGCCTTATTAATATAGGACATTAAATTCCTCAGGATAAAGTTTTAAAGTAAACTTTATTACACCTATTTTATTATAGGTTTATTACACCTATTCAAACAGTGGAAACGTCTATCCTCAATCTTTTCCCAAGCCAACCTTTGTTATTTGGGGACCATTATGAAAAGAAAATGTCTTTCTTCTCTGTGATGCATAAACCTTTCCTTTGAACACACACGAAAAGGTTAGATCCCGTTCTAGAGGGTTATTAACTCGACAACATGGCACACACCAAAGACTCATTGCCTATTTAGCCAATTCCTTGATCCAAGAGCCAGGACTTAGTCTCTCCACTTCAGAGCAATGACATCCTCAACAAAGCCGGTCAAAGTACCTACAGAGTTTTTACTAGGTTCACCTGTAAATTTGAGATTACCGTATGTGGAACTATCCCTATTGCTAACTAAAATACCAACACTTTCCTGTTAACTAATTGTGAAATATTGCTATTTTCTCCTCATGTTATCAACATTATTACCCATTAAAAAATAATCTCGTGATTGCGTTTCTGTAGTTCAGTAAGGGTCATGCCCTCCACAGACCTTTTGGACACTGCCGTCCAAATCCTAACAACGTTTTTTGTATATTAAAAATATCATGCTGGATATGCAACAACTAGACCATGGGAAAATCCAATTTTGTACTAGAAACCAAAATGACTCAAGAAGCCAAACTTGGGGTCCTCTCTAGAGCATGTCAAATTGCTAAAAATTAAAGGACTAAAGTACAGCAGGGATAACTGACAAGCTTTTGGAGTAATAATTACTGGATGATTTGATGCCACTAAAGGAAATTACTGTCATAAAGGCTGAGGCCCACAGTAAAAGAGGTATTATAGAAACTAGAGAAAATGCTTTAGCAGATAATCATGCAGATCATTTAGTAGATCAAAAAGCTATGCAATAAAACAAAATCATTTATCATAGCTGAATGGCATAGTAAGTGCAAGAAAAGCACATTTTTCATAAGAACATGTCTAGAAACACATAAAAATTTCCTTAAAAATGAGAGTTAAATAATAAGCTCTGAATATAACTCAGCACAGTATTTTGAAATTCAGTTATTTAAAAATGTTTTAAAAATGACTTCAAAGTGTTTATGAGGTACTTTTCATATGTGTTACAACAATCGGTGTATCGTATAAAACCCATCCATTAATAAATAGTATTACTGATCAGTTCACAATAATCAGCTTGGTTCACTTTTACCTTTCAGTATACAGAAGATAAAGTGTACGAGAGTTTTACTATAGGACAAATCCTGAGAGGAGCTTCTGGTTTTGATCTTACGTTACAAGTCAGGAAAAAAAAAGGGTAAAAAATGCAACTTACACTCATCTCGGAACCTTGGTTCTGCATTAGGCCCAACTCTACCAAATGTTTTAATGATCTCTGTATGCAAAGAATACTGGTCTTGGTACTGAGGATCTTCCAGAAAAGAAGCCAACTGCATTTTCACTCTTTCCAGCAACTTAAAATTAGATATTTTACAGTTATTTCAAAGAATTTTAAAAACTGAGTAGAGTTGTTAAAGAGAAAGATACATATTAAACATGGCTTTCAGCATGGGTTCAAATGATTTATATCAACATGACAGTAGAAGCCTGGAATTAAACAACACATTTTTATTTATGCTTGCTAATTCTTCTTTCTTTATTTTTTTGAAAATACAAACATTCCCTTAAAACCTACAGAAACAAAAGACCCCCACAGTATTTAGAGAAAAACAATATTTATAGTGATTTTGTACCTAAATTTTAATTCTCAAAACCAATCACAGTAGGTTACCCAATTATTCACCTTCTGAAAGCAATGAGTCATTAATGACTTATATCTTACTCACATTTCCCTAAAAGACATTTTTATTTTAGGATTTAAGAATATGTTGAAATTCTGCCAAGACTGCAAGCTTTGCAGAATGATATTTTTTAATGTTGCTTCACCAGTGAAATACATAAGGGAAAAATGGAAAACTTCCCCCCTCCCACCCCATAAGTAACAAAGTTGTTTAATTTTTATTATTAGAAAATCTGTATGACAAAGGAATTTCATAAAATAGTGTTTCTTTTTTGGGGGGTAAAATGTGTATTTCCATTTCAGTGGCCATGTAATATGTCCACAGATGACTTATCTTCTAATCTGTAGGGGTTCTCGTTTGTATAAAAACATGTCCAATTTGATAACAAAGAATGAAATTCTGATACTAATTTTGAGAAGTGTCTTAGAGTTAATGTTGCAGATAGAAACTAACACCCGTGAAACTAAATCACAAGTTTCTAAATCAAAATACACTCTCAGAAAGACCTTGATGATCTCCTGCAGTGGACATGACAGAGAGTGGTCACAGTGATGTGCACTACAACAAGAGGATACCGGCCCACTAGACTTGCACATCACTGATCACAGTTACGAGAACAGAGGTGCCCTCTAGCCTCCATTTGTAAAACTGAGATAGGTTTGTGGTCCTAAAGCTATCAGTCAAATTGCCTTCAAATCTGGGTAAACTGGCAATCAGGAATTTACGTAAGACTATCCAGAAGTCTATTGGATAATGGAAGGCTTTGGAACTAGATGTGGTTTCAAGGATTACCCAAGACTGCAATACTCAGCTAGGCTTAAAAGAGAACATCTAGGAGTTGGCTTGCACTTAATTCTCTAATTGAGAAGATAGACTAGAGATTTCCTTAGGATATGAAAATACACTTTGGATAAGGCTATCATGTTTTCAAATCCTGAGATATTCCTCTGGCCCACAACCAACTAAGAGATATAAAAAAAGTTATAATACTCCCTTCCCCCTACCACTGGGTGCATGGATGATAATGTATCATCACCTCAACAGTACATAGATAATAAATTTCAATCATTTCCTACCTCTCTTTGAATAACCGTTTCCATAATAGTGCCAAAGGCCGGAATTGTGGCAATCCGGACAGAGCTGTTAGAATTAAAAAAGAAAGAAACTGAAACTTTCTTTGAGATGAAAAGCTGATTATTAAAATGTGTATCACAGTTAAGTATAAGGTAAATATACTGTATTAGTCTCTAGCAATGACAAATTAAATTAAAAAAAAGCAGACCAAGAAGAATGCTCAAAAAGACAGACAGGATAACTTAAGGTCGCAGTCTGTGGAACTCACAATTCAGGATCACTGGACAAGGTAACAAGGGCCGGAGCAACCCGCTTGTCAACTAACGCTTCACTCATGCCTCGAAGAGTCAGCTGTAAACCAGTCAACATGCAATAAAAAATGGTTTGGTAAACTGGAATGAGAACTGGGTTAGCTGTGACTGAGGATGGGCAGGCAGACTCATTGGTCTTTCTTGGTTTAGTCACCCACACGAGACATTAAAATGTTAAGCCTTTGGTTCATGCCACTATACTTACTGGTAACAACATGTTAGTGAGATTAGCAGAGCATCCTTTCTCGGCTTGGAAGAAATAGTCCATCAGCATATTTTAAGTTTAGGAAATGTTTACTGAGAATACTATTAATGTATTCTTTTCGATACATGGCCTCCAAATGTGAAGGTTGACTTAAAAAAAAAAAGATACATGAACAGTATAATAAAGTTTAAAATCAAGTGAACATAATCCAATATTATTATTTTGAAGAGATAAATCTATTCTTTAATGAATTGAAAAGCTGATGGTTATTTCTTGATAGGCACATTTTGAAAGGGATGCTGAATGTAAAAGGCAGGGATGACACTTACATTTCAGGGTCACTGGAGAGAGTAATGAGAGCAGGAACAACCCTCTGAGCTACCAGAGTTTCATTCACCCCCTTCACCAACAGCTGATTGGTCAGCGCAGGGGGTATTCACAGGTGATGCATGGAAAGAGCAAACACAGTGCCATGGGAAGAAGAAAGGAACGACCAAGAGAAAGAGAGAAAACACAAAAGCAAAACCAAAATTAGAAGCTAAGCAAATACTGCTACTAGAGTGCTTTAATAAAGGGAGAGAATGCTTGGGAGGAAAACAAAGCTTAAATAGCTTAGCAGTCCACAAAAACAGAGTGTATCACCAATTCAATGGCAGTTTGTACTTTTGGTCAAAGTCTCCATGCAATTTCCATGTTCGATTAAAATGCAATTTAAAAGAAAGCCTTTCTTTGTCTCTTTCTTTCTTTCTGGGTAAAAAGAAGATATATACTGGATTCTATGGTTAAAATTCTTGAAGAAAATCTGGTGTCGTTTTATTATGACCAACAAGGTACAAACTGGACTGTTTTTAAACCAAACTCAAATGGCTAGCAGCCACCACTAAACTGCTTCTGATTGTTCTACGGCAAGTCAACTTAAAAATCACAGGGAAACTCCCAACCTTTTACATCACATAGCTTTCTCTTTTGAGGTACAAAGACACATAATGCAGCCCGAGTGGAAAGTAGTACATGTGGGAATTAGATCTGGGTTCAGACTCTAGCTCTCCACTTATCAGCCATGTGGCCTTAGATGCATTACATAATCTTCTTGAAACTCAGTTTTCTCATCTGAAAATGGTAACACTGTTATCTACCTTAAAGGATCATTGTGCTACTAACTGTACAAAATATGCCTAAATATTGTGTCTGCAAAGATTAGGCATTCAAGAAATGTGAGTTTAATTATGAGTACTACAAGGATATAAGATTTATGATATATTTGAAAAAAGAAATTATTAATTAAAAAACTGTTTTGACTGTTCCAAGTAGTTAGCATTTACAGTTTGTTGTTTTACATTTCTCTAAAAGCTCAAATGAATAAGAAAATAAACATGATAAGCACATTTAGACCTATTTCTATAACCTAATGGTAAAATAATTCATTTAGCAACCAACCCTAAATCTAGAACAGGAGGACAATATTTTGGAGCGTTATACATTTTGTTTTTAAAAGGGCCACATCCTAGGGTGCCCGGTGGCTCAGTCAGTTAAGCGTTGACTCCTGAGTTTGGCTTGGTTGGGGAGGTTGACAACCATGTAGGGATCCATGTGATGATAGTGTGGAGCCTGCTAGAGATTCTGGCTCTCCTCTCTCTCTGCCCCTCCTCCCGCTCATGCATGTTCTCTCTCTCAAATACACATTAAACAAGATTATAAAAAAAATAAAAGGGCAGCATCCTAATCCTACATTCTCAATGTCAGAATTTAAAAACAAATTACTTCTAAATGCTTGTCAATCTGGTCACCTTGCAGTGGAACTAGGCCTCGTGGAAGACGGAGGGGGCTGTGGAATTTTTGTAACAAAAACCCAACACTGTGTGCCTGTTAACACATTCTTCCCACACGCCGTATCAGAGACAGCAGAGCTCACTTTATGTGAAGATTCCTAACTTGACAATAATCTGTTACCATTCAACAACTGATTCCCTTTAAAATCTACTTCAATATTCTGAACTAAATTTTATAAAAATACATGGATAATTAGGCTGGAATAAAATGACACAAGAACTTTTGCTACTACCTTAAACATTCCAGAGGTCAGGCAGAAAGAAATAGGGGCGAGAAGTTCAAATACTGTTAATAAAACTTTCTTCTCTGTACCTTTTTGTAAATAAGATAGCTTAGATCTGAATCAGTAAAGTGTATCTTAAAATGTCTGCTACCTTGTGCCAGCCAAAAAGCATTAAAAAAAAAAAAAAGAGGTCTAATCTAGGGGACAAGTTAAATTTTCATTGCTCTGCAGTTTGAAGTGTAATTTCTTTATTAAGCTAGAAAATCAAAAAGTAAAATTTAAGAGTTATCAATTGTTATGCGCTTTATGTACAATGTATCATTTGATCTTTAAACCTGATGAGCTAAATACAATTATTATCAATGTTTTAACAGATGAAGAAGAAACTGAGCCTTGGAGAACAAGTAACTTGTCCAGGGTTTTAGAGGCAATAAAAAGCCAAATTAGCAAATGGACTCGTCACATCTGTCTCACAAACCCAGGCCTTCTTTGAGTTGGCCTACTGTTACAGGCTTAGCTTCCTTATGACTGATAGGAGAAATCATTAGATGAAGTTCTTTTCTGCATCTTTTGGGAAATCCATTATGTCACATGATAAAGTTTCCTTATATATCAATTTCAATAATAACCTGTCACTTCCAAAAGTAATACATTGGCCTATTATTTAACAATAACAATGAAAATAATAAAATTGGGTTTGCCCTTTTTGTCCTGCTGTCTGAAAACTTAGAGCTACACTTAGTGTTCAGTTTCACTAAGTATCTCATGTTATGTTCCTGGTAGATCCATTTCTTGCTTTCTTCCCAATAGTTTCGGTCTCACATAAAAAAATTTTCTTTTATTATAAATGTCCTGCTTTTTTTTTTTTTTTTTAATTTTTATTTTTGAGAGAGGGTGTGAATACGGGAGGGGAGGAGAGAGAGGAAGACAGAGGATCCAAAGCAGGCTCTGCATGGACAGCAGTGAGCCTGATGCAGGGATTGAACTCATGAACTGTGAGATCAGGCCCTGAGCCAAAGTCGGACACTCAACTGAATGAGCCACCCAAGTGCCCCTAAATGTCCTGCTTTTTATGTTTTTATTTTGAATTAACTCATTGCGGGCGAGGGGAAGCAGGCACAACTGTAAATTATAATGTATTAGTATAAAAAAATCTTTTGAAATATACTTATTTTTTTAATACAATTTTGCTCACTATAAGAGTCACTGACAACAAAGGTAACTTTAATTTTTTCTACTGATGATTTTACTGGCATGATCACTGAAAAAAATTTTATCACAAATGAGTTGGAAAAAATATTGAAATAATTCTCTCAATTGGACTCAAGTTCATAATCAACCTGAAAGAACGCTGAAAACTGCCGAAGCATAGGTATAGTTTCCAAACCAGCACTGATTGCAAACACAGAAACCAAAACCAGACAAAAGCCACATATAAGAAATAAGGCAGAAAGAACCCAAAAACAAATAAAAAGAGGATGTTTCATTTTATTTAAATTATTTTCATTTATATGGTATGCTTACCAGTGAATACATAATTTGAGAAACAAATGGTTTAAGAGAAAGAAGTAGCTTTTAGCGTCTTAGAATAAAATCCTATAATGACAGTGTATTAAAGACATAGTTCTTTATATAAAAGGATGCACTTTTCTTTCATGGATGACTCTTTTCAGCATACTGAATAATCAAAAATTATTTATACTCACAGGAACTTATTACTACAGATCAATCTGAATTTTAAATTTGGCATTCACCTTGACAAAGAACACTTGATTATAGTTTTTTAAATCAAATATGTACAATAACTGAGGCAGTAACATGGACAGAGGATATTCAACTTCCTGGTAAGACTGGAATTTTCTTTAGAGTTCACACATCGATTTTATATATTTAAAAGTTTTAGAAGGTACGTATTTTAAACATACCAGTGCTCTATTCTTCAAATGGCAATTTATCTTAAATTGTGGAAAAACTCTGAAATTCAGGAAGAATTGAATTATCCAATTCTTTTTATGGAAATAAACGCTTTCAGATATTTTAAGAATCACATGCATATTAGGGATAATTTTAGCCTGGATATATATACATTCTCTAAACTATTATATTACTCTGTGAAATAACAGCATGATAAGGAAAAAAAAATAATGATAATGATACCTAACATTTATTAAGTTCCTATGTGCCAGATGCTGTTTTAAGGGCTTTACTAGTATTAATTCATTTCATATTAACAAAAATCCTTTGAGATGGATAATTATTATCATTTTCATTTTGTAGATGAGGAAACTGAGGCACAGAGAAGTTTGAACTTGCCATTAAGTGGCAGAGACAGACACTGAACCCAGGCAGTTAGGCTCTATGGCAAGACTCAAGAGCAGAAAGAACACTCTAAATTAATTTTTGTCTTCAAATACAAGTTCTAGAAATATAAACCAATGAATGGATGAATGAATAAATAAATAAAGTAGGCTATGGCATAATTTCCTCTATGATGGATATTTTGAATTTCAAAAGATAGGCATTTCAATTTTCATACTTAATTTGGGTAGGTGGCAACTTTAAGAAAATCCAGTTGAATTATATGAACAGTCTCTTCTCTCCTAATAAGTCTATGGACAGTTAATGTATAGGGATGTTATTCCAGACATGATTTGTGAGGAAATAATCAAGTAGAGTAATCAACAAAGTAAGTATCCCCATATTTGCAATAATTGATTTTTTAAAGTTATTCATGAATCCAACTATATTTTATAACTTTAAATATATCTTATATTGTTTTAGTTTATTTTAGTAGCCATTTTATCTCAATAAATAGAAAAGTATAGTCAGGAAAGATTTATATAAGATGGAAATTAATATAAGATTTCAAAGAAAATTTAAGAAGTAGAACTGAGAATAACATCCAAGGGACCAATAACATCCAATTAACCAATATTTAAACATTCTTAAATATATCAAAGCTAAATTTCTGCCCCATCACACAGCACACAACTAGATACTATTCAATGCCATAAAATATACATCAACATAACATAGTATGCAAAGCCTTTAATAAAAAAAAAAAATTCCCTTCTCCATCTTCCAAAGGAAATCATTATAATTAGAAATGAGAGAAGCATTTGTTTACATACCTCAAACATTCTAGCAGCGGTACATCTCACAAGTGCCGAAGTATGGACAACACCATACCATAAAACAGTTAATAATAACTCGTGGTAGGCTGGATTTGCACTGAAAGAAAAAACTCAGTGTTAAAAGTGAGGGCCACAGTGTCTTACTGGTGTATCGAAAAATACTACATTTGTAGGTAATATTAATGATAAAAATATTGGCAAAAAACATGAAACTACTCTGTATGGTTTAACAGGTTACATCCAAGACTCTTTAAAAAAGGAAGTCACCTTACAAAGCTACAAACTTTTAGCATATTCAGGAGTTATACTTTTAGGTTCTGTAAACATTTACAATTCTGATAGAAATCTCAACTCTTTAATAGCATACAACTTAAAATTATAAAAAATAAAAGAAAATTTACCCAGGAGGAAAGAAAGAAAGAGCACTGGACTGAGTCAGATGGGTAAGTTACAACCTCTGTGGGTCTTAATTTCTGTATGTATAAAAATTGGGGAAGCAATACTTGTCCTATTTATGTCATATGTTTATTGTGGGATCAAATCAGATCAACTCAAATCACTGACATGGAAGGAGAAGTTGGCTGTGAGGCCTATTCAAATGCAAGACTGTATTGTTACCAAGTGCCCAAGCCTGTTTGCAATAAAGACAGAGATAAAAATGACATTAACAGCTAGATGACGTGATTATGAGCAGGATCAGGCAATGGGATGGAAAAAGGAGCCAATGAACTTTCACTTGGAGCTCCTTTTTCAGTTTTGGGAAACTAAATTTTCTTCAAATCTGAACTTTATTTCTCCAGCTGCTTCAAAGAAAACATATGTCTATACTCTTTCCCCTACTCTTTTATTACAATGTATTGATTACAAAATATTGAGAATGTACAAATAAGCGAAACCAAAAACCAAACACTACAAGGACAAAAACTAGGCCTCAAAACCAAAAGATTTGGTGTGGATGCCAATATTTTTTGACTCAAACTATGTATCTTATAAATACAATTTAAAAACTTTACATGAATTAAAAAACAAACATAAGCTATGATTTTTACCCCAGTTCCACAAAAGAAGCCTTCAAGCTATCAAGAGGAGCATGCGATAATGAAAGCAGGGTCATTACATCTTCTAAGAATCCCACTAACAGTTTTCGGTCTTCTTCCTACAGAGGATAAAGACTGATAATGAATTTCCAAGCAATCAAGTAGAACTAAAATACTAATTTCGTATCTATAATTATAAAGTTTTATCAAATATGGGGAAATATCTAGTCTCAGAAGCATTTTAACTAAAAATATGTATTAAACTTATCTATCTATGATCACAATGGTAAAAGGACAAAGACTATCTTGATTCATAGATCCTCAGACCTGTGCTGTTCATTATGGTAGCCACTCACCACATGCAGTTATGTAAATTGAAATTAAAAATAAAGTACAATAAAAGATTCAGTTCTTTAGTAGCACTAGTTACAATTCAAGTGCTTAATGGCCACGGGTGGCTAGTGGCTTCCTCATTGGACAGTTCAGATACAGATATGTCTGCTGTTGCAGGAAGTTTTATTAGACAGTTCTGCTTTAGAAAATGCAAAGGTATATTCTTTTATTAAAATTTATTTTTACAAATTTTAGTTCCCACTAATTTTGGCACTAAGCACTTAAATACAAACTAGTAAAAGCTATCCCCCTAACAGAAAATTGTTTCCAAGAAATTATTCTTGCAATTTCTTAGTGGTAAGAAGCTACATGCTTGTTGAAATACAGAGTACTGTGTTCTTTTTCTTTCTTTTCCTGTATCTTTCTTAAATTTTTATTTTTTATTTTTTAATATCATTTATTGTCAAGTTAGCTAACATACATTGTATACCGTGTGCTCTTGGTTTCAGGGATAGATTCCTGTGATTCATCACTTACATACAGCACCCAGTGCTCATCCGAACAAGTGCCCTCCTCAATGCCCATCACCCATTTCCCCCTCTCCACTGCGTCCCCATCAGCCCTGTTTGTTATCTGTATTTATGAGTCTCTTATGGGTTTGCCTCCCTGTCTGTTTGCAGTCATATCCTTGATTAAAAAAATAATCTATATTTTCAAACTTTCTTTAATAAACCATCATTTTCATAATCAGAAAATAATCAGTATTTTCTTTTTTCTTATATTGTACTTTATTAAGAAATATATTGTAAAAAATAAGTGTGCTAAATTAGGAAGGTTAAAAAATCACTTTGTATGTTAAATTAACCTGAGTCTATAAAGGAAGGGAATCTGACATTCTGTCAGGAAATAAATATATAATAAATTAGAGTTAAGTTTTCTGTCATTATGGATGTATTAGGCCAACAATAAATAGCTTCTGCATTAATATTAATAAATAGATCTATGAAGAATACTGGATTGCCACCAACCATTTTTTTTCCCTACATAATCAGGTTCATTTAGAATGAATAAAGGATTAAAAACAATAGAATGAATAAAGAATTGACAAAAGTAATGATCAGCATGAACAATGTCAGAGCAGTTTTGGAATATGACAGTCTACTTAATGTAAAGCTTAGGACACTGACAAACCAGAATCAGAGCAATGTCGGAATAGAGACTCTACCCAATTTTAGTTGCCTACTATGTCAAAACACAAAATATACATAAAATTGGAAAACAAACTGTAAATCTGAAAAACCTGAAGTGTGAAATAAGAGCTATGAAACATACTTCCAAATGAGCATAGATTCTTCTAATCTGAAAATTTAGTACAATCCTATTCTAGTTCTCATTTTTGAAATCTCAAGACAAAAAAATGTATTTGATTCAAAACAGTTTTCAACTCACAGCTTTTCAAATTAAAGAGAGTGGAAAATGGTATGCATAGTATTGTGTCTGGCAATATGCTAGGATTTAAATCTTCATGAGTTTAAGAACAATAGAGACAATCTATTAAAGTTACAGGACTTAAAATACCCTACACACAGGGATTGTGTGTGTATTCATATTATGAGGCAGTCTTCGAAACCAGGGTAGAAAAGAACAGTTTAAAGGAATACTGTGTTACTTTAACAGAATTGGAGCTTCTGTTGAAAGGTATGTGATATAAAAGAGGTTAGAGTGGGAGAGAGCCAAAGCATAAGAGACTGTTGAGAACTGAGAACAAACTAAGGGTTGATGGGGGGTGGGAGGGAGGAGAGGGTGGGTGATGGGTACTGAGGAGGGCACCTTTTGGGATGAGCACTGGGTGTTGTATGGAAACCAATTTGACAATAAATTTCATATATAAATAAAAAAAAAAAAAGAAAGGTATGTGATACTGTAGGACTACATTTTAAAACTGTAAGATAGCTCAATCTGTTTTGTTAGAAGAGTACAATAAATATGAATTATACTTTGAATTCAAAAGGCAAAAGAAATGTTAGGTATTAATGGGGGAAAACTCAGGAAAAAAGGCCTTCCTTTTTGATTCTTACATTCTAAATTCTATTTATTTTTATTATTTTTTAAAAGTTATCTCTATGCCCAATGTGGGGCTCGAACTCATGACCCTGAGATCAAGAGTTACATGCTCTACCTACTGAGCCAGCCAGGAGCCCCTCACATTCTAATTTCTAATTTTTTTTTAATGTTTATTTATCTATTTATTTTGAGAGAGAGAGAGAGAGAGATAAAGCAGGGGAGGGGTAAAGAGGGGGGAGAGAGAGAATCCCAAGCAGGCTCTGCACGGTCAGCACAGAGCCTGATGCTGGGCTCAATCTCATGAACTGTGAGATCATGGCCTGAGCTGAGATCAAGAGTCGGACGCTTAACCGACTGAGCCAGCCAGGTGCTCCTCACATTCCAATTTCTAAAAATGCTTTATCCTGAATCCATACTTTCACCTGACTGGTGGGGCTGCCTCACACTTAAAAATGACTGATCTACGTTAATATATACCATGTTCATTTCCTTAAAACAACGGTAAGTAGAATGTGGTAGTTTGTCATACTGGTGACAACCAATGAACTGCACCTCCTGCCTCATGCCTTTATTTTGTGCCCTCTTCTGGAATCTGGGCTGGGCCTGTAACTTGTTTTAACCAAGGGAAGGCAACAGAGTGATGTGCTAATTCCAAGCCTAAGCTTTCGCCTAGCAGATGCTGCTTTTGCGCTCTGAGGAGCCCTGAGCAGCCCTGAGCCACCACGTATTAAGTCTGGCTGTGCCGCCCCAGAGGCCCCAAGACAACACAGAGACTGAAGCTCAGTCACCCTAGCTGACCTCTCTTCCAACCAAAAAGGTGAATGCAACAACATGAGTGACTGACCACCAGCAAGACCACAAAAGAGAGGCCAAGTTGAGCAAAGCCCATGAGCAAATAAAAGGGTTATAATAAGCCATTATGTTTTAGGGTAATTTATTATGTAGTAACAATTAAGAAAAATAAGGTATTATTAAAAAGTATTTTGCACAAAATGGTAATAGAGTACCGTATTCTACAGCATTTTGTAGTTTGCTCCACCTAATACATGTGCTTTATTTGCTATTTAATTTATGAAAAATTAATCATGAAACACAATGAAACTTTGATAAGTAAGTGCAATCTAACACTTCTAACAAAATATCAAGAAGCACACAATCTCTAAATTTATTTGTTCAAGATTTGTTCAATGAAGACTTATTCAAATATGCTCTCCACTATAAATTACTCATTGAACAAAAGAAATATATAAATTTTGTTTTCCTTTATGGGTAACACGAACCCATAATCTAATCTAATCTATGTTGTTAATATATATTACTTTTATAATATAATATAAAGCGTAATATTATGTATCTTTCTAAACAGAAAGCGCTTTTACATTTTCTAGTAAAAGGATTTTTCTCTTACCTGAATATAACACGTAAGGACTCCTGTTGCATAAATGGGGACAGTAGCTTTAGTGAGGACCCCATTTCCTGCTGAGGAATCTAAGATCATTAAAACAATTTTAAAAATCTGCATGTATTTTAAATGTAAAGCAAAAAGTCACAATGCAAATTATATTTAAAATTCCAACTGGTTACAAGGCTTACACATGCATATTATTACTTTGGAAGAGAATTTTGATTAAAATACATATCCATGGTTGTTGTAAAAACACAGCTTAATACTTTTTATAAAGCCAGTAGCATAAACATTTTTGATAGATGTTAAGAACTCTAATAACCAAAATGAGATGCTATACTCTATTTCCATACTCAGAAATTGGAGCTTTCTTTTTTTTTTTTTTTTTTAATGTTTATTTATTTTTGACAGAGAGACAGAGCATGAGTCGGGGAGGGGCAGAGAGAGAGGGAGACAGAATCTGAAGCAGTTTCCAGGCTCTGAGCTGTCAGCACAGAGCCTGACACGGGGCTCGAACCCACAGACCACGAGATGGTGACCTGAGCCGAAGTCGGATGCTCAACCGACGGAGCCACCCAGGCGCCCCAAGGAGCTTTCTTGAACTCTCCCAAGTGCCAGTCCGTATAAACAGGTCTTAAATTTTTATGCTTTCAATCTGTAGTATTCGGTAGAAGGTAAAGGCACTCAGCTAAAAGGTGGCATCTGGATATATATTATTTAATCTGCTTCCTGATATGAGATACTACCTAGTTTCTAGTACTAGTCTAGTTCCAAAGCCCCTCCTGCATCCTCTACAGGGATTTTCAGCCAGATGACCCTATTTTCGCTAGGAAAATGCAGGCAAAGTACAGAGGCAGAAGAGGGGAAAGCATTTCAACACAGGAGAGTACCCTGTGACTACTGTAAAATAAGATAATTCATCTGTAGATGATTTCAAAAAAGAAATTCAGAGATGATATAACATTATTTATAGCAACAACAGCTCTGGTTTATTGTTCTTTAGGCACTATTTTAAGTGCTTTATATTTGCTTTTATGTATCCCCAAATTTTTAAGTACTTTTTTCTATTTTTATATGGTTTGAAATTCTTTTCAGAAAATAGTACATAAACAAATTTGACTAACTGCCCTGAAAGAATTGTAGCAAAAAAGAAAGTTCCATTTTCACATCAAGTAGCACTTGAGGTTTGTTTATGCTCTCAGTAAGAGTAATTTTTTCTTTGGGGGACTACTGATATTGGTTGAGTGTGACTATGGTAGTTGAGAGTTAAATCTGAGGTTAGGAACATAGACGTAAGTTGGATTCATAGATATAGACTATACATATAGGGATTAGTAATCTCTTCCTACATGAACTACTAAACACTTAGAGCTAACTAGTAATTCTAAAAGCTGTCAGTTTTTAAAATATGTAAATATTCCTCACTAATTTATCATCAGAATTAACAACTAAACAGATAATACCAACTATTAGGCATTCTAAACATTAACACTTGATAATATAAATTTTGGGAAGCATTTATCAAAAAAAAAATCTCATCATGTTCGAACTTAGAAGAAAAAGATATATTTATTCATCTCTATTTCTGAGGACAGCCTAAGATGGGTTTTGTAGATCCCTCAAATCAAATCACTAAGGTAGGATGGTGATAAGAATTACCTATATGTCCAAAACCAACCAAGTTTAAAAAAAAAAAAAAGAAAAAAAGGAGGGCTAGCTATACGTTTTTCTTTCTAACATTTTCTACAATTTATTCGTAGAAACTAGAAAAACACACAGGAACTTAAGATCCACAAGGAAACAAGTTCTTAGGCTGATGGTGCTATAACTAGACTTCTTAAGACAAATGAGTGAAAACTATCAACAGAGGGACTGGAACTGCCCATTCAAGTATGTGGGGTTTTTTTTTTTTTTTTTTTTTTTAAGTTTATTTATTTTGAGAAAGAGAGAGAGAGAGAGGAAACAGTGTGCATGAGTGCGAGTGGGGGAAGGGCAGAGAGAGGGAGAGAGAATCCTGAGCAGGTTCTGTGCTATCAGTGGGGCTAGATCTGACGACCTGATCAAGACCTGAGCTAAAACCAAGAGCTTAACCAACTAAGCTACCTGGGTGCCCCCTCAAGCATGTAGTTTCATTTTAAAAACATATATGCATATCTTACATTCTCTTCCACTATATTTGTTTTCATTTTAAAAGATTTAAATAACTAATTTGGAAGTAGAGATCCTTTATTCTATATTTTTCAATATTGTGAATATACCACTTCAAACCTACAAGGGTACAAGCACTCTGTTTGAGAAACTCAGCCTTAAGTCAATTTAATTGCAAGGAAGGTAGGTATTTATAAGCAAATTAATAAAGATGAATCTCACTACCAGCTCATGGGAAAGAGGTAGATGTGACACAGTTATAAAACCAAGAAATAAATTTTCCTTTTCACTTGTACTTGCTAGTTCATTTATATACAATTGGCACACAATGAATATAGTATTTTTTCCTGAGTAAAGATATCCAATTGTTTTAAAAGTAATAATAAATGGGGGTGCCAGGGTGGCTCAGTCGATTGGGCATCCGACTTCAGCTCAGGTCTTGGTCGTACAGCTTGTGCGTTTGAGCCCTGCGTCGGGCTCTGTGCTGACAGCTCAGAGCCTGAAGCCTGCTTCAGATTCTGTGTCTCTGTCTCTCTCTGCCCCTCCCCTGCTCACACTCTGTCCCTCTTTCTCTCTCTCAAAAATAAAAAAAAACATTTAAAAAAATTAAAATTAAAAAAAAGTAATAACAAATGAACTTACCAATGTTTTCTTCAGACAGTCTTAAAATCTCCTGGAACTGAGGTTTGACCTAAGCAACCAAAAGAAAAGATCCAAAAAGTTTCAGTCCAATGGATCAATTAAAGATTAAATAAATAAAATGTTTACTATGGCTACTACTACTACATTCATTGATTCATCTGATTAATTGATTTATTTACTTATTTTTTTATTTTGCTTTATGGACGATTTAAGTGATCAGAAATATAACAATTCTTTTTTTTTTTTTTTAAGTTTATTTATTTTGAGAGTGCGAATGCACGTGTGAGCTGTCAGGATGGAGCCCGATGTGGGGCTCGATCTCATGAATTGTGAGAATATGACCTGGGCTGAAATCAAGAATCGGACACTAAATTGACTGAGCCCCCGATGTGCCCCAGAGATGTAACAATTCGTAAGAGGCTTAGAATAAAAGAAGAGTCAAGTTACTACAAGCAACACCTTTAGAGAAAAAATGTTTTCCAAATCAATTCAAGTCAGTAGGTATTTTCTGAAGGGTTTTTGTTTTCCTTCACTAAATTAAAATAATTTCCAAGATGACTTTAAGGGCTTGAAATTACTACATCTTAAAACTTCATGACAGAAAGATTATTTAGGTAAATATTATTATATGATTAGAATTATTTTTTAAAACTTTGCTGTATTTAAAAGGAATGAAGAGCAAATTCCATTCATTTAGGGTATTCAATAAGTAACATATTCATCATGTAATATCCATCTGCTTAAATTTTAACTTCCTTAAAACTGAAATTTAGGCATCAAATATAGAATTTACCTACAATTTTTTAAGCTAGTAAATGCTAATTTCAATTTTTTATTATTAACATTATCACAGATTTCAGGTTTCAGGGCACTGAAGTCAACCACTTACTGCTAAGTATTTAAATGAACTCCTACTTACTTTTTTTTTTTAATAATAGCTACTTCTTTTGGAGATGTCAGACAATTTTTGCCAATGTTGATAACTATAAAATCAAATTCTATTTAATAATTAGATGTTAGCAAAAATGTAAAATGATCTTGTTTCTTCTACAGTAGCATCAAGGTCTAACTTTTTGCCCTCTTAGCGGCAGGTCGGGCATAACAAACAACTTAAACGGAGGTGAAGCCCACTGTTTGAAGATTAATCTACAGCACCATGCTTATGGAACAAAAAGACACTAAAGTAATTTATTCATTTCATGCATGCCAAGGCTAAGCCCAGATAACTTAATTATTATAGGTCACAAACATAATAGTATTTATTATAACTCACTTTCTGAATTTTGTCCAGTCTGCTATACCAAACTATTTTGCTTTAAATGTTTAAATACCCACAGAGTAAAGTAATAGTTAATAGTAAAGAGCTCCACAAAATTCTTACCTTTTAAACGTCTTGATTAACATTTGATTATAACAACTATATCTTTTTATGTTTTTCTTAGCTCTCTAAAGAACTGTCCCAACAATACGCTAGCAAGACAAATGGATTAAAGATGAAACTGGGATCTAAGGACATTCCAACTGTAGTATCTAAAACTGTAAAGTAACCTGGATATGCAGATGTGACAAATACTAGCTTTGGCAGCGACTGAAATATGCAGCATGAATCTCACGTGTCCACACTATTCTAAGAGCTGGTCTTGCAGCAAGGCTTCTATAGCAGCTACGCTGGTTCCACAGTCGCCTGAGGTTTTGACCAAAGTGTGCTGAGCAAACAGCTGCTCCCCGAATGTGTGGTGGATGGGAAGGCAGGAGAAGCGCATCAAAGAATCAGTGAAGGCCTCTGATACGGCCTCTGCTGGAAAGATACCCAGTGTGTAGATGTTATATCCAAATCTGGATATAAACCAAGTTTAGGCTAAATCATCGAAACGTGAATAAAGATAAGAAGATTATTCACTAGAATTTTCTGTTACTGTCATAGTTTTCTAAGATATTAAAAGGTAAAGGAAGAGCTCATGCTTTGGTTTACTCTGTCACAGCGTTAATTAACACATTACATTTCTGTATCTCTTGCAATAAGAAAATATGGAACACAAGTTTTTACCTTAGTGTTTGTAAAAATTTTGCCAAATGTCCGGCAAAGGCGCCAGAAAAATCTGGAGAATTCATGGACACAGGCAGTTGAAGTAACATTAATTTTGCCAACTATTTCTATAAGTTGTGGCAACCTGAATGTGAAAGGAAAGAAAAATAGGCAGGGGATACATATAAATTACTGTTTCCTTGCCAATGTCTGAAACAATGCAAATCTAACAACCTCCTGCTTTGCTTTTCATAGCCAGTAAAACCGCAAATCAAAGGAGCGGTTTGAGATACCCTGAAAAGGTTTTCAGTTTCTATTCTACTCTATAAACTTCTTAAATTTTAACTGCTTGCCATAAAACACATGGAACCTTAACAGTAGAGTTTTGCCTATGGAGTTAATGAGACACAGATCACTGGATTTGATGCTTCACATTAAGTGCTTGGCTAACAAGGCATCCACTGTAGCTTCAAAAATGACAATCTGGATGTGGTTTAAAATACATCATCACTATTAGACAACAACAAGGCAGCAGACAGGTCCTTTTGACATAGTCTGGCAGCACCATCCTCATAGATAAATACCTACATATCCAATGGTATAAATCTCCCCTCCTAAAGAAGTTTACCATAGATAATGCCAAGTTATGTTTTTGTTTTGTTTTTATATTTTGTTATATTTTGTCCCTCAGTGCCAAAACTAAGCATAGGGAGCTATCTTCCATCAACTGATGGAGGCGTACCAAATGAATATGAAGGCAGTAACTTACAATTGATTGACAACCCACAGTAAAGTCTCCCAGCCTGTTGTACCCTCGTGTTCCAGCTGGTAATCATAAAGTTGTAAGAGCACTGCCAATTGCTCACGACTTCCAATTATAGTAGACACATCTTGAAGAGGCGACATAGGCCGAGGGAACCTAGTCACTATAAATAATAGAAGCAAAATAAATCATGTGAAAAGTGGCAGTGTGTGAAGCTAACTATTCTGTGAAAAGGAAAATAAGACTCTGTCTCTCGATATTTAATTGCTTATTATAAACTTTAAATAGAAAACTGAAATATGTTAATCATATAATTTTTTTAAAAAGTGAAACAAATTCCTGTCACATGTGAACAAATTTAACACGTCTCAAAAATTAAGATTTTAGGAGACAAAATAGTTATAGTAAACGAACACTGTAATGAAATAGTTTGCTAATAAAGAGTAAAATTGCATTTAGGTTAAGTTAAAATTGGCCCAAAGATAAGATGTTAGCTGAAACATGGATTTGAATTTGGTTTAAAAAAAATAGAAATACTTATAATTCCACCAGACTACTTATGACAATGAAATAGAGAATACTTCTTGATGGCTATTAAATGGTAACGCATGCCAACAGCTCATTAACTGTTAGAAACGCCTAACTGCCCAACAACTCTTGCATAGAGGCTAATATCCTAAAACATGCAAAAATACAGAATTTTCTCAAAATATATTAATGGCTTCATAATTATTATTAAACCTAAGAAAACATGAAATGCACATAATTTTAAAAATGTTCAAAGACAAAATTAAGATGTTACCATCTTTTTATGCTGCCCAAGACTTTTAACAATATATTAAAGACAGAGGTCATCCCTTGCTAGCTGAACTCTCCTATTTGCTATCATAATATACCAACCAACAAATAAATGAGTTTGGGTAACATGGTACCTCTCACTATCTGAGGTTTCTGCTTGAATTCTCACTGTATCTCAATCTAGGAATAAACAGATTTGGACTGCGAGGGATATTTGTACTTCATAGGGAATGTATCATGTCAAAGCATAGCTGATATAATTTCAAACACGGTTATATAGCACCTGTCACAATCTGCTGCACTATGATAGAGTGAATGTCATTCCTTCATACATACTAATAAACAACTGAAAAATAATAGAACAGTTTAAAGTCAAATAGATAGGTCAAGATTAACTACAGGGGAAAGTGAGGTCTAAAGACTTAAAGGTAGGTCCAAGAGAAGCAAAATAATGTCAAAAAATAAGCAGTTATTTGGATAACTCAATTATTACAGGTAAGTAAACAGAATGGCTCAGGAGTCTCAAAACATTGTTCTATTTAACAGGATTTTTAACAATATAGAACTATAGAAAGGTCCCCAGAATGTCATTTTAATAGGATAGCAAAATACCAGCATTTTATTGTCAACAAAACAGTCACAATTATCCAGCAAAGTAACAGCCATTACGACTCTTTAATGTATTTCCCTCTCACTAGAATGTAAGCCCTCTGAAGGCAGAAAGTTGTGTCTATTTTATTCACGAATGTATCTCAAGTGTTTACAATAGTGCCTGACATAAATATTAATTAGTTACCGCTGTAAAGAAATTGGTAGTAAAACTATTTGTGTTTCTATTATATAAGAGAAAATAAATCTTCACCTATCATAAATTCTATCCCAAATATATGGATGTATATATAGATAGACATATAGACATGGATATACAGACCCTACGTAAGAATACAATATTTTCTCATTTAAAATAAATGATTTATAACCAAGAAGTGGGCATAATAATATTAACATTTATGGTTGCTGTTAAAAGTCAGAGAGTCATATTCTGTCTAAAAGAATTAAAAAGGAAAGGTTATTTTTGGTATGATGAAGACATAATCACAAGAAAGGTCAAATAAACCCTGGAAGAAATATATTCAGGATGGTAAAGCAGTTGTTTTGACAATTTTCATCTAGTCCCTAGCACATGCTTGGCATCAACATTCAAGAGTTATTTTTATACATGAATGAAGGCAAACATTATAGGTTGATCTATGTACCCTCCTAGAAACTCCTACATTGAGGTCCCAATCCCCAGAACCTCAGAATGTGACCTTATTTGGAAACAGTGTTATTGCAGATGTAATTGGATAAGATGAGGTCATACTGGAGTAGGGTGGGCCTCTAGTCTAATATTACCCATCTTATAAAAAGGCGAAATTTGGACATACAGACACACAAAGAGGGAGAATGGAATATGAAAATGAAGGCAGAGATTGGGGTGATGCATCTACACGCCAAGGAAGGACAGAAATTGCTAGCAAGCCACCGGAGACGAGGAGGGAGGCATGGGACAGCGTTTTCCTCAGAGCCATCAGAAGGAACCAAACCTGCTGACAGCGTGATCTGAAACCTTGCGCTTTCTAGAACTGTGGGACAATAGATTTCAGTTTGTGGTATTTTGGTATGGCAGCCCTAGCACACCAATATGGCAAGACAGAAAGAGAAAGAGTGGGAATTAGACAGGAAAGCCCCTAGGCAGACAAAGAACCTTAACACATGCAGGGGTGGAACCTGAAGCAGTCAGCTGTGACTGCTTTATGAAGACTTTGCCTAAAAGCCTGAATTTTCCTTCTCCTCAGTAATATTTTAAAATATTAAATTAACTCAACCCCATCTACTCTCAATTTTTCCAGTAAAACAGACATTCAAACATTTGTGCTGTGCTTCGTGTATCCCAAAGATTATAGGTAAACCACTCCCAGTTTCCTTTACACGAAAACTGCCAACTGTCAAAACATGAAGTATCTACTGATGTTCTCAATGTTAGAATTCTTTTGTCTACCAGAAGTCGGCAAGAGACATGGACAATGTCACAAATCTGAAAACTCTGCAAAGGGATCTCATACAGAGTAACAGCTGCTCTACGGCCATTTATCCTGGGGGTTGGGTGCAGTGGGGTTACTAAGTGCCGTGGGTCAGAGGTCACTTACTGGTTAGGTGGACATCGAGACAAGAGAATACTGGCCTTTGCTATCAATTTCACCTATTTCTGAAAATAAGTCATACTCCTTCTTTGGAGAAAAACATTCTGTTGCATATGCTTATATTCCTGTCAAGGATGTAGAAGAATGTAATTACATTTACCTTCCCCTATTGAAAATAAGATGAAACAGGTCGGGGAGAGAAAGTGGAAAGAAAGCGGAAATGACAAGCTTCATAAACTGGCACTAGTAACTTTAGGTGAATCTTTTCATTAATCCAACTCTATGAATGAAAGAAAACTTATTTCAGCCACTGGGGGGAAAAAAAGGGGTAAAATGACTATAGATTAGGAATGGAAAGAAAGCACAAATATTAGAAAATAATACCATGAGGCTTATCCATAAGCGACGAAGCCGCAGTTGACCCTAGCTGTCATACACTCTGTGACCACGAAATTCCACACATATATTTTAGTAATTATGCTTTCATATAAAGTGATTTTTAGAAGTTTAACCAAAAGCAATTCCTTGGGAAGCTAAGCTGCTAACGTCCTACATCTTCCTTCCACAAGTTCAGTTCAGTACCTTCTATCTGTGGCACTTCACCATGAAGCTTGGCTTTGCTGGAGAAAGGCGCATTCTGCAGCACTAACGCAAAGAGAGAGGGGATCAAGGACTGCAAAGCGGAAAGATACATGTGGAGCTTATGTTCATCCAGCCCGTGCTCTCCTTCCTGAAACATAAGGAGGTGGAAGCTAGTTTTAGTCTGCTGAAATTAAGTATTTATAATGCTCTTCCTTTCTGTGGCCATTAATTAAAAAATTAAGAATCTGTATGTTAGACTCATAGCACAACACCTAATGGAGATATCCATGAATCTTTTCTTAATTTCTCTAAGTCCAGGAAAATGTGAGAAAGCACTGAGGCACTATAGTAAGCAATATAATCTTTTCTATGGAAAACTTCAGGGTGAACATCGGTCATTACCATTTGTATGAAACTTCTTTTATAGGCTTTCTTTTTTTCCCCCCCAATATTTATTTATTTTTGAGACAGAGAGAGAGCACAAGCGGCAGAGGGGCAGGGAGAGAGGGAGACACAGAATCGGAATCAGGCTCCAGGCTCTGAGCTGTCAGTGCAGAGCCTGACGCGGGGCTCGAGCTCACAGACCCAGAGATCATGACCTGAGCCGAAGTCGGACGCTTAACCCACTGAGCCACCCAGGTGCCCCCAGGCTTTTCTTCTTTCAAGAGGGTCTTATTCTTTGAAATTTTGTAAGTCAGGATAAAGAAATTAAAGTGAGTTATAGGAATCACTTTAACTGTTCAACTGTTGAACCAGCAACAGCCTTGGCTATTTTCCTTCTCCTACATCCGATCTCCTTTTACAGATTTGGTGGCATCTGTATGTGCCAGCACTGAAGGGACTTTAAAATACTTCGATGCATAGATGAAAGGTAGGAGAAAAAAAATTCAAAAGGAAACAAAAGAGATAACGGAAAGAAAAAAAGAGTAAAAGGGTTAGTATGGTACACAGAAACCACATGTTAAAGTGAAAAATAGAATCATTACAGATAAAAGTGTTTACTAATAAATACATTATATTATATTATATTACTAATATTATAAAAGCTATGTCAGAGATACCAGATATATGAGTTACACACTATCAAGTTCTAAATTAATCTCTTCATGGAAGGATTACTAGCTACGCTGAATACTTCAGGTACATCTAATAGCAAAATAGAATTAACCATGTTATGAAATGGAACTTAAGAAAAACAAGGTATGGATAAATCTCAGGTAGAAAGAATACAAACATTTAAAGAATACTTAAAAAATTTCCCAGGTTTCATAAAAATGAGTATTTTCCAGTCTAGTTGTTTGTTTACAGTTTTTCTTAACTACCCAACTTGAAATTTATAGAAAAAAAAGCCCAATTTTTAAATTAAATACATACATATAAGACTGTCTACAGAGTAGTTACTATGCAAGAGCCTTAAAGATTCTTTAAAATTTGGGGGTAGAACGGGTAAGAGTTAGGTGTCAGTGACCAATATCAGATCCTGGTTCCATCATCTGACAGCTGTAAGACCTTGGGCAAGCTACCAAAATGCTCAGTTTCCACACCAAAACCAAAATATAATTCAAAGGGTTATAAGAATGACATAATATATATTATTTATACAATATCTCCCTTAATGCACATAAGAGGCATTAAAGAAATGTTAGTTTTTCTTCTAGACTCTAAGAGGGACTTTTAGTACAAAAATTAGATCAGGAAGTTACTACATTTCTATAAACTGTATAAATAAAGAAAGCATTTACCCTGAGAAGTTTTTCTATCTTGTTCAGCAATGTAGGTATAAGATGAGACTGTAAATTTCCAAGTTCTGTAGTCCAGGCAGCATAGGCCGGTAAAAATACTTGATGTGTTGCACTAACTACTCTTTCTGAGGGATCACCCAAGGCTGAGAGCAGCAATTCAAAACCCTGCCAAAATGAAACAGGTAAAATTTAGATTTTTCAAAGAATAAATTAAAAAAAAAAACCCTTAATAAAAAGCAATGAAGTACATACACTGTAGTACATGTAGAGAATACTTTAAGCAAGAAAGAAAGCCATCCATAACCCTATCCTTCCCATTTTCTTTAAAGAAAATGTCACGTATCCACTGAAGCGGAAACCAAACAGAAATGGTGGTAAACATGGCACGCTTTTTGCCAATTTCTTGCCACAAAACCATGGGAGATACTATCAATGAATCATAGTGCTCTTTCTTTTGAATCGAAATAAAACCAGGTGGCTAACTGCAATGGGTGAACACTGGCATGCCTAGCAGCTCTACTATAAATTATCATGTAGCTGAATCAGAGATTTGGAATATTAAATTGTTTGGAATTTTATAATGAAGTAAATGGGGTTCATTGTGAAAAACATACCTGTTGGTATTTGTCTGGATCATCAATGTATCCCATAATGATGCCAAGGCTTTTGATCACAGCTTCTCTTACTAAATCTGCCTTATCTTCCATTAACATTTGTTGCAACATTGAGAGAACCAAGGAGCTACGGATTTCTTTCTGAAAGTAAACAAACACATGTTTTTACTATTTATTTTATACTAGCGGCAGAAAAGTATAGAAAATAATACAACAGACACCCACACATTCAAAAATCCAGATGAAATATACATTAATTTTTGCTAACTTTCCTTTAAGTCTTCATTTTCCAAAGACATAAAACATTACAGATACAGCTTAAGTTTCACTCTCCTCCACCCTTCCTCTCTAAAGATAACATCTACCCTGAATTTGGTATCAATTGTCTCCCAATACATACCTGCAACTCTTTCAAACCCTACAGCACATAGTAACATAGTAGCAAGCACTTCTGGAAAATTGACAAAGTCAACCCTCTGCTATAAACCAACAATGACTCTTCTACGGCTCCCTGTTTACCTCAGAGAAGAGCTCTCAGAGTTATAAGAACAGGAGGGTTACAAACTCCACTCTGGTTAATCAAAACATTTGCTGGGGTAGAAGTGTTGCAAACATTATAAAATCCTGGTGTTCCCATTTTTTTGAAGAACTGAGAAAAAAACTTCAAACAGGATGATACAATATGGGAGTAAACTTACAAAGACTTCAAAGGGAACTGAGCTGCTATTCTCAGAGGCAATTTTTTAATATAATGGCAACCACTGTTGTGTCTTAATTTCACACAGTTCTTTTTTGTTAAAGAATATTTTAGCCTAATTAATGGCTGAAAGTAAAATAAAGAGCTATTGCTATGCAAATTCTTCCCCTTTCTTCCCTTCTTTGCACCATTGTAATTTGATCAATTTATAACATTCTTCAAACCCAAACTTGTTTACATATAATGGTTAGAATAAAATAGCAGTAGAAGATGACCATTTTCATAAATTCACAGTGTGATTTTAGTATTCAGGGCAAGATCTGCAGTCATTTTTTTCTTTTTAATTTTTTTAATGTTTATTTCTGAGAGAGAGGCAAGAGACAGAGTATAAGCAGGGAATGGGCAGAGACAGATGGAGACACAAAATTCGAAGCAGGCTCCAGGCTCCGAGCTGTCAGCACAGAGCCCGACGCGGGGCTCGAACTCATGAACTGTGAGATCATAACCTGAGCCGAAGTCAGATGCCCAACCGACCAAGCCACCCAGGTGCCCCTGCAGTCATTTTTAAAGGACCTAGTTTTTAGGGGCTCCTGGGTGGCTCACTCGGTTGAGCGTCCGACTTCAGCTCAGGTCATGATCTCACAGCTCGTGAGTTTGAGCCCTGCGTCGGGCTCTGTGCTGACAGCTCGGAACCGGGAGCCTGTTTCAGATTCTGTGTCTCCCTCTCTCTCTGCCCCTACCCTAACCCACTCACATTTTGTCTCTGTCTCTCTGAAAAATAAATAAACATTAAAAAAATTTTTTTAATGACCTACTTTTTGCTTTGACTTCTTAGAAACAAAAATATATATGATTTTAGCACATTTTGGGCACATTTAGGTTGGTGAATATGTCTTTTAGTACAGCCCTGTTTACTTATCCTTTAGGATAAAAACTGCCCCAAAACTGCCTGGAAGATCTTCAAATGGCTTCTTGGTTGGTATCAGCATGGGCAACAGGACAGAAGTTAAGTAAACTTCAGCCGGGTATTTGCTTCACATTGATCTGGACTGAGGTCAGCTGTGGCAGTTAGATTCAGTAGGCCACAGGGAACCCACAGGACAAATCAGGAGGCATTACTCCATGTAAGCCATGACCACGCGTATTTTACTGTGATCAACTGCAGCGAGGTATAAGGCAAGTGAGATCCATGGAGGAAACAGTAAGTCTGTTATTAATACTGCTTAACATTCTGGTATCAGGGGCAGCGCAGAACAGCTTTTTTAGCCCCTTTGTGTTTGTGATGTTCTTCATCTGTCTTGGAACAGTAAATAAAAGGATGTGCCAACCTACTCGTAATCTGTCTATATGATTTATCACAACAACAAGATACTGGTGTTCTCCTATAATATAGGAGAATATTAAAAAAGATTTCACCATACCCCGATCCTGGTAAAGGTATGGTAAAATAGGAACTCCAATGTACTGATGACAGGAGTATAAATCTGTGCTATCTTGGTTCAGGGCAATTTAACACTGTCAAAAATGCAAATGCTGAAAGAGGCAAAATGTGGCGGTATTAACAGTATGAAAAATTAAAAAAAATACATAGATACCTACACAAGAACCTCTCAATAGTGTTTACTGTCAGGGATTAAGAACATTGTATATAGTATGATTAATTCTGGGTGAGAAAAATTCAACTATAAAAATGCAAACTGTTACACGCTTAGATTTTTATTTTCAATAAGAATTGATTAAAAACTATCAACGGTAGGGGCGCCTAAGTGGTTCAGACAGTTCAGTGGCCAACTTTTGATTTCAGCTCAGGTTATGATGCCAGGGTCGTGGGATGCGCACGGAGCCTACTTAAGATTCTCTCTGCCTGTCCCTCTGCCCCTCTTAAAAGGAAAAAAAGTTTTTAAGAAAAACTGGCAGTTCTTACAGGAAGGTGGGGTGCCAATGCTCCACAGGATTCTGCTACAAGTAGACGTCTTTCCGGATATTTGTGGTTAATCTAGAGTAAAAAATAAATAAATCAAACATGAACAACAGAACCTCCTTTCTTCCAACAGAGAATTACTGTTCACAATAAATCCTGTTAAGAATGCAATAAAGCTTCTTTTTTTTCCACTTCTGGGGATCCCTGTGTGGCTATAACTGGATCAGGAATAAGGGATTCAGAGAGAGCCTAAAAAATGAGGTCACAAGGGTCATCTGTTAAAGAAAAAAGATAAAGCAAAGATGAAAATGTGGCAAGGTGTCTAGAGATTGTGGGCTTGCCTACAGCTAGGCTTTCCTTAGGATGTCAGGAGCAATTTTCTCCAGCCCTAGAAACATTAGTTTATATTTAAATTTGAAAAACCCACCTTCTGAATATGACAGACATGGCTTATTAATAGGTGCCAGGAATAACTCATCAGTTCTCTTTTCCAACTAAGGGATTCGGAAGTAAGTCAATCAATGATTTAACCAGAACCCTTGACTAGTGATATGATTTTGTTTTTAAAGTAAGCAGACTTCAATCCACTCCTGTTTGTATACGCAAGATGATGGGGCTTTGCTGTGATGACTACACTGAACCATAACAAAAATAACAGAAAAATGACACATACTGGGTTTTGTTCCCATATGTCTTCTTCATAGAATATAAATCTTTCCTTGACTGGAAAAGAAGTATATCTGTTCTCATATTCCCATATGAAAAGGTGACATAATTCATTAATGTATTGGATGCCTAAAATTAAGAAAAGAAATTACATAGCAATCTACTGGGCAACAGATTGGAGGTAGTCGGCTAGATAGATCCCCGATATCCATGTTTATTCAGGTTATAGAAGAGGTGGTGGTAAAGATGTTTATAACTAATATCTGTAAATCAAATTTAATCTAGAAATAGTAATCCTGAAAGCAGAATGGTTTGGATGTCAAAGTATGCTGTACATAAACTTTCATTTTGCTTCTTTAGTCTAGCTCAGTGAGCCTTAAAATTAAATGTACATACAAAAATCAATTGTATTTCTTTGTATTGCAACCAATATTAAATTAAACTAAGAAAATTCTGTTTGCAATAGTATCAGAAAGAATAAAATATTTAGGAATCAGTTGAACAGAAAAGTATAAAAATTATACTCTGAAAACCACAAAACATCACTGAAAGAAAATTTAAAGGAACTAAATAGATGGAAAGACATCCTAAATTCATGGTTTGGAAGGCTCACATTGTTAAGATGGCAATATTCTCCATACTGATCTACAGAGTCCTCATGAAAATTCCAGACGGCTTCTGGCAGAAACTAACAAATTCATCCTAAAATTCACATGGAAATTCAAGGGACCCAGAATAGCCAAAATAATCTTGGAAGTATGGGAACTAATAAGTTCAAAGGGTTGGAGTTTCTTTTTGGGGTGATAAAACTGTTCTAAAATCGATCGTAGTGATGGTTGCACAAGTCTGTGGGCACACTAAACACCACTGAAGTGTGCACTTTAAATGGGTGTAAGGTATCTGAGTATCTCAATAAAGCTCAACAGGAAGAAAAGGAAATAGAAAAAACTGTTAAATACTATATGTACATATAAATAATGGTACAGAATTGTAAATTCAAAGTTGTATATGTTGTTTCTAAGTTAATGTGACTTTCAATGATTACAGCCTCATCCTAAATTAGCATGCACTATAACCTACAGGGGACATAAAGGACTGTCACAGACAGCAGGACTATATATAATGTTCCTTTTACATATTTAATTTAGATCAAACTCTAATAAATTTTAAAGAAGAAAATGAATACTCAAAGAAATTAGGAGTAGTATTCTAAAAGAGCATACACTTTACTGATATTCCAGAGACCAGTATTTTTAAAGCACAAGTGACTATGTTATTATAAATAAGGCCATGACATTTGCCTTTATAAGAAATTCACCTTTTTTAAGGTGGATAAATAACCTGCTTAATGACCTAAACATCAAGTCTAGAAAGTCAATGATCCTGAGTTCTACATAGGACTGGAATATTAAAATTCAATATAAAACTAAAGTACTGGTAGTAGATAGTGAGTTGGATTATAAATACAAAAACTTCCCACATCAACAGTTTACATTTCATATTCTGTATAGATTTGCAATATATACAAGTATATAATACATATATTATTTCTATTACCTACACACATGCACACACACACGCACACCCACACCCACACACACCCAGCCTTCTTGCTCTCTCTTGAATTCACTGAGCACGCCCCTGAGGGCTTTTGTATTTGCAGTAACTCACTTCATTCAGATCCTTGCCTAAACATCACTTTCTCAGGGATTCCTGCTCTGACCTCTTTCTAAAACAGCATTCTCCATTATTCTCTAACCCTTATCCTGCTTTATTTTTTCTTCACAGTTTATAGTAATACAAGACATATCATTTATTTGTTTATTCTTATCTCCCCATGAAAAGGTCTCTGTCTTTTGTTTACCACTGTACCTGTCATTGGAACTAGTTCCTTAAGTATCTGTTGGAAGAATGAATAAAAGCAAGGCATCCCAGAGCACTCTTAAGTGCTATTAAATCACTGTGCTGGACTACAGAAAAAGCAGCATAATTTAGATCCCACATAATTCCACTAATTCCTAGTGGCATTTAAAAAAGAAAATGTGAACACTTATAATAAACTAGAGTATAACAGCTAGGAGAAAACGCCATACAGTTATTTACCTGTTCCCAGCACTGCGGTAAAAGTTCAGCTTCTACACGTGTTGGTCCAACATGGCGTGCAAACGCCACACAACCTGTCAGTATCATTTGCCTGAAAAATAATACAAATGAATAAAGACTTATACTTACATTAGAAAGCACAGCTAGGACTAAGGGTTCAAAAGAGTCAGCTCTGGTAGCTCAGTCAGTTAAGCACCCACTCTTGATTTCGGCTCGGGTCATTATCTCATGGTTTGTGGGTTCGAGCCATGTGTTGGGCTCTGTGCTGACGGTGCGGAGCCTGCTTGGAATTCTCTCTCTCCCTCTCCCCTGCTGGCTCGCTCTCTTTCTCTCTTAAAAGTAAATAAACAATGGGGCGCCTGGGTGGCTCAGTCAGTTAAGTGTCCAACTCTTCGTTTTGGCTCAGGTCATGGTCTCATGGTTTCATGAGTTCAAGCCCCACATTGGGCTCTGCACTGGCAGCATGGAGTCTGCTTGGGATTCTCTCTCTCTCCTTCTCTCTGCCCCTCCCCCACTTATGTTGTCTCGGTCTCAAAATAAACTTAAAATAAATAAATAAACAAATATTAAAAAAAAAAAGCCAGCTCTGTAATTCACACCACACACAGTACTTTTGTACAATCAAATTAGACTTTTCTTACAATGGACTAGGTTGCCGCCAAGAGGATGAGTTCCTTAAGACTCGTTCTTCCAACAGTGGTAACACCATTTGTGAGATGTTGTGAAGTTATCCTCTATTGGTGTGAAGTTGAATCTCATAACCTCCTAAATGAACTTCCCATCCATGCATTCTAAGATAGTATGTCTAATGCTTCAGCATCTAAGAACTTCAGTTTCTAGCCACTAAAACAATCAGTGATTATTCCCCCAGTATTTCTTTCTTTTTTTTTTAAATTTTTAATGTTTATTTTTGACAGAGAGGGACAGAGTTCAAGTGGGGAAGAGGCAGAGAGAGAAGGAGACACAGAATCCGAAGCAGGCTCCAGGCTCTGAGCCTTTAGCACAGAGCCCGATGAGGGGCTCAAACCCACAAACTGTGAGATCATGACCTGAGCTGATGTCAGATGCTCAACCGACTGAGCCACCCAAGTGCTCCTATTCCCCCAGTATTTCTATAATTCAAAACTAGGGTATCATATTAGTAAAATGATATTTCTTTTTTTTTAATTTTTTATTAAGTTTGTTTATTTATTTTGAGAGAGAGAGAGCACAAGCAGGGGAGGGACAGAGAGAGGGAGAGATAGAATCCCAGCAGACTCTACACCATCAGCACAGAGCCTGATGTGGGGCTCAAACTCACTAACTGTGAGATCATGACCTGGGCCAGGATCAAGAGTCAGATACTCAACCAACTGTGACACCCAGGCACCCCCAGTAAAATGCTATTTCTTACATTTTTAAAAGTTAATTTAGTTATTTTGACAGAGAGAAGGCATGTGTGAGTGGGGGAGGGGCAGAGAGAGAGGGAGAGACAATCCCAAGCAGGCTCTGGGCTGTCAGCGTGCAGCCCAACATGGGGCGTGATCTCACAAACCAAGAGATCATGACGTGAGCCGAAATCAAGAGTCGGACGCTTAACCAGTTGAGTCCCCATAAGCTGATATTTGCACCAGTAAAATGGTATTTCTAACATCAGAATTTTATACCCAAGGTAACTGCAGTAGGCAGCTTCTGACCTGGTTTCCAATGATGTCCACCTCCCAATATTCATGCTGTTGTAGACTGGACCTAATGACCTGCTTCCAGTGAACAGAATAATGGCTGAAGTGATGGGATGTCTTTTCTGAGATTAGGTTACAAAAGTCTGTGATATCCAGCATTGGACCCTTTCTACTGCCTTCTCAGCTGGCATGCTTTGATAAAGTATGTAGCCATTCTGGAGAGGCCCATGCGGCAAGGAACTGAAGGAAATTCTGGCCAAAAGCTGGTGAGAAACTGAGGCCCTCAGTTCAAAAACCCATGAGAAACTGAATCTTGCTAATGACCAACTATGTGAATAAGCTCAGAAGCAAATCCTTCCAAGTTGAGCCTTGACAGGACCAGCCCAGGCAACATGTGGATTACAGCCTTATTAGAGACCCGGAAGCAAGGACCCAGACTGACTCACACTAACTACAATATAAAAAATCAGTGTTGTTTTAATTTTCAGACAACATGATACTCTATGTAGAATACCCGAAAGACTCCACCAAAAAATTGCTAGAATACATGAATTCAGCAAAGTGACAGGATATAAAATCAACATGCAGAATTCTGCTGCATTTCTATACACCAATAATGGAGTAGCAGAAAAAGAAATCAAGGAATCGACCCCATTTGCAACTGCACCAAAAACAGTAAGATATCTAGGAATAAACCTAACCAAAGAGGTAAGATTCATGCTCCGAAAACTACAGACACTTGTGAAAGAAATTGAAGAGGACACAAAGAAATGGAAAAACATTCCACGCTCATGGATTGGAAGAACAAACATTGTTAAAATGTCTGTACTACCCAAAGCAATCCCTATCAGAACACCACCAGCATTTTTCGCAGAGCTAGCACAAACAATCCTAAAATTTGTATGGAACCACAAAAGACTCCGAATAGCCAAAGCAACCCTGCAAAAGGAAACAAAAGCTGGAGGCATCATGATTCCAGATTTCAAGCTATATTACAAGCTGTAGTCATTAAGACAGTATGATACTGGTACAAAAACAGACATATAGATCGATGGAACAGAATACAGAACCCAGAAATGGACCCACAACTATATAGTCAACTCATCTTTGACAAAGCAGGAAGGAATATCCAATGGAAAAGAGACAGTCTCTTCAACAAATGGTGCTGGGAAAACTGAATGGCGACATGCAGAAGAATGAAACTGGACCACTTTCTTACACCATACACAAAAATAAATTCGAAATGGATGAAGACCTAAACGTGAGACAAGAAACCATCAAAATCCTAGAGCAGAACACAGGCAGCAACTTCTCTGACCTTGGCCAGAGCAACTTCTTACTAGATAAGTCACCAAAGGCAAGGGACACGAAAGCAAACATGAACTACTGGGACTTCATCAAGATAAAAAGCTTCTGCACAATAAAGGAAACAATCAACAAAACTAAAAGGCAACCTATGGAATGGGAGAAGATATTTGTAAATGACATATCTGATAAAGGGTTAATATCCAAAATCTATAAAGAAACTTACCAAACTCAACACCCAAAAAACAAATAAGCCAGTTAAGAAATGGGCAGAAGATGGGACACCTGGGTGACTCAGTCGGTTAAGCGTCCAACTTTGGCACAGGTCATGATCTCAGGGCTCGTGAGCCCAAATCGGGCTCTGTGCTCACAGCGTGGAGCCTGAAACCTGCTTCAGATTCTGTGTCCCTCTCTTGCTGTGCCCCTCCCCCATTCATGCTCTGTCTCTGTCTCTCTCTGTCTCAAGAATAAACATTAAAAAGAAAAAAAGAAAAAAAAAAAAAAAGAAAAGAAATGGGCGGAAGACATGAATAGACACTTTTCCAAAGAAGACATCCAGATGGCTAACAGACACGTGAAAAGATGCTCAACATCGCTCACCATCTGGGAAATACAAATCAAAACCACAATGAGATACCACCTCACACTTGTCAGAATGGCTAAAATTAGGGGCTCCTGGGTGGTTCAACTGGTTAAGCACCTCACTCTTGATTTTGGCTCAGGCCATGATCTCATGGTTCTTGAGTTTGAGCC